GGCCCTGATGCCAATAATGTGGAAACAGACCACACATGGCTCAAAACTGCATGTAAACTGTGTAAAAATGAACAGACCTTATAAAAAAAGGTTTTAAACCTGTTTCTTAAACCCCTTGAGTTAAAGTTTAAAGTGTACAATTAAATCACTTGCTGATTACATCATGTGTTGGTGTCCATACACGACACTGTGTGAAACACTTAAAGACCTGACTTCAGGTAACACATTATTAGAGTAACACTAAAGAAAAAAGCACTGGGTCACCTACACATTACATTAACAGGAGCTGCCCGGCCATGAAGCTCCCAGCACACAGTTTTGGTGCTGATGTTAATGCCAAATGAGGTACAGAGCTATGGACTTATCAGAGCATCGGCAGCTTTTACATGCTATCCGCCTCACTCGACTCCTGTAAACTTTACGTGGTTTGCTTGTCATGCCTAAATGTTTTCCACTTTACAGTAATACCACTTACAATAGATCAATTGATTATCCTGAAGGGAAGAAAATTTCACAAACTGCCTGATGACTGACCAAAACAAATGTAAGAACAAAAAATTGCTTCCCTTGCGTTCAAACAGTAGCACAGCCATACTCACATCCATCACAGTGGCACAGCTGTGGTGTTTGTGATGATATGGCTGAGGTTAATTTATAATTAATTATAAATAAGAAATTATAATTCATTTAAGACTGATTACTTAGATGGTGATGGTGCCTTTTTGTTATTACGGTTGATGCTTTGTGTATCCAAAGATGTCAATCAGGGATCATTAATCATGCAGGTGCACCACTAAGATTAAAGATGTTAATGTTTAAAATAAATGCATTTGTGTCTGCTTGTGTGAGGCTTTGGCACTTCCAGGGTGAGAACAAGGGCGAAATGCTTCAGGCCTGACTCATAGCTAGTGGAGGTTTACCGTAAAGCCTCTTCATATCCCCTTAAAAGGGATTATTGGTTTTTTCCCCTCTCCATAGACTTACCAAAGGGGTTTACCCAGCGGACTTCCCATAAGGCTCTGCCACAGAGGGTGGAATTGTGCGAGTTTGATGGAAGCAGAAAATTAGATTACTGCCTTTCACTCTGTGCTGTTTCTGGTGACAAAGATGTGCTGCAGCCGGTCACGTCATGTGCAGCTGTTACCGCCTCAGACCTACACTTAGCATTATGTAGATGCACAGAAAATGTGCCCGATGAGCAAAGGCAGAGCAGGGTAGTTTTTCCAAATATAATCACCGTGTTACTATGCACATATTCCTGTTTTGTAACTGAAAATGCCATGTACCACTGTGTATAAGACACAGCATCCCTTTTTTAGCTGTGCTGACAAGAATGCTAAACAAAGGGTAACCTGAGCACTGCAATCGAAGAGCAGCGGTGTCCTGTTCTTAAGCGCTATTTCACTGTATCTCCTGCCCATTTAAAGAAATTCTCGTTGCCTTCTTGCAGTAAAAAAGAGCTCGAACAAGTCTTTATTGATCAGATTTGGTTCTCATTTATGTATTTACATTGTTTATTTATTAAGTAGGCACCGAGCGGTTTAACACAGTTCCAGTACAGAGCATAAAACTGATGCTGAGCTGAAAAGAGACATTTTATAGCTGATGCTATTTTTAACCTTAGTTGGCTTCTACAAATACATTGTATAATTTAAATGCTTTAATGGTCACTATTATGCCGATAATCACTTAGCAAACATGTCAAGTGGAATGCAAGAAGAAAAAAAATCAATAAATTGATCTTGTTCTCTTTCAGCATCTGTTTTTTTTTCTTCTCTTAGATGCTATAAAACTTTGCTCAGTCTATTTTGTGATCCCTCGTCATAGATTGTACCTGTCTACAAATTATAGTCAGAAAAGTTTTATTCAAGAAATATAATACCAGTAATTGTGTAGGAGATTAAATGAAGGCATGGTTGTTTGGAGCGGCTGTTTCAGCTCCAAGTACACGCGTGGAGAAAACCTTTTGTGTCTAAAAATGTTTTTCATTTGCACAAAAAACTGAAGAAACATGCTCTCTGTGTTTTTAATTAGTTTGTTAAAAGATTACAGTCATACTGTGTTTTCCCCCCCCTTATTTGCTACTGCTGTAGTGATTAATCAAAATGTGACAAATGCCCATATTTGGGAAAACGTTCAAAATGAGGAACGGTATAAAAATGTTAGAAACTTCTACGTAGTTGGTGCAAGTGTCGGCTTGTGTTAGGACACTTTCCAGCTCCTGGAATATGTAGCATTGTGGTTTTTCAGGTGAAACTGATTATTATTAGTATAAAGTACTGATCCAGGCACATTTTAAATGCTTAAACTTAGACTAAAAAGCTGAAATACTTACATATTTGTAGTCTTATATGCTTATAGCCTGGGAGGGTTCTTTTGTCTCTGGAGGCTCTGGATATCTTTGTCATATTGCTTTAAGGTTTATAAGGCTGTAGAGCATCAGAAGCTGTCTGAACGAGTGAAGCAGCAGCAGCTCGGTGTGTAAAGGACATTATGAGCTGAGTGAAGATAGGCAGAAACCATGTGACTTAGAAACTGTCACGGACTTCCTGGTTACTGGGCTGCAACAGGGGATGCTTCATATCAGCCACCATTATGAGTGGCTACATCTGCCACCTGAATATTTAACAGCACTGTGCATCAGGTTGCAGATTACTAGTGAATTATTAATCCCTATAGATTGGCATGAACTAGCCTGGAGTGTTTTGTGGTGAGGCAGTGGCAAGCACGTTCACAGTAGCAGGTATGTCTCACTTACAGCTTTATCATCTGCACTTTATTAATTCTAAATGAGTTATGAATAGATTTAAGCGAGTGAGCTAACATGTGGTATGTTTTTGATGGATTCTTTTCAAAAGGTAGGTTTTGGGGAGGGTTTGTTGCTCAAATTGGGTGAGATCAAAGTTCTTGTGCTTCTTGTAAAGTTCTAAAAATATAATATTTACACATTAATCACTAAATTAATTGTACATTTAACAATAATCTGCATACAGGCTAGTTGGAGGAAAACGTTGCAGATATCTCAGAGAAAAGCTACTGTAGAGAAATATGAGCTGTCTGTTATAGAAAAAAATAGAAGGTGTGGTGGCAACAAGTGACAGGTGATGTTACAGTACTTACAGAACTTGCAGTAGATATCCTTAAAGAAAAAATATATTATTAAATCTCTATTATTAAAACTGAATGACTGTAATTAGTCTTTACTGCTACTTATGTAAATTCCAACAGTGTGTGCCCCACTTATGTGGGCAAACTAACTTTCTATGTGATGAGATAAAAACATTACAGCTCATGGGGGGAAAACTCTCCACTTTGATGGTTTTGCAAAGAGATGTTGATTGATGGGTAAGACAACATATTTGTTTATAAATAGTAATATATAAGTGATCTGGTATATTTGTATTTAAATGTGTGATGTGAAAAAACTCATAATTACAGCAGGCACTTTGGCTTTTTCTGCGATCACATGCAGCTCCTTGAAGGACACTCTGAAGGGTGTCACTCTGTGCTGCATGTCTGTGCGTCTCTGCAGAATCGTGGTATATCCATCTAATATCAGTTAGCATGCCATTGCTCACGGTGCATGCACAACATTTCATAAATCTGTCCTCATGTGTGAGTTGCTGCGCCCCTGAGGGTTAAACATCATTCACTGTTTTTCCCATCAGTATGCGAACTTCCCCAGCCTTTCTCAGGGTCATACAACCTCCGTGATGCATAACGCATTTATGACAAAAGGAGCATTCGTGAGATTGCACACAAACATCCCTCTCCATCACGCTTATCTGGATTATGTGTCGTTTTGTAAAAATAAGATTCATGCATCCCGACGTGGCTGTATCACTTGCTGATCCATCATGTTATTTGTTCTCAGCTGTTTTGACACTTAATCCTTTGCATCATTGGCCATATATGTTGTATTTTGCCACAGAAGCATCACATGTTGACTACAAGGATGATTTACATTGGTGTTTTCCATTCCCGTTGGTCATTAGTGCTGAAGACGTGCAAACGCTTTATAGTTTTATACAACAGTTTATTTGGAGGTGTGGCAATGCTTCAGTGTTCACTCAGGACAGCGCTTCTCAGGATAATCTCTGACCAATCCGATTGATCTTTAGAAGATTGCACTTCTTAGTGTGCAGTGACAAGGTCCCTGTGGAGAGGGCTAATTCAGTAGCTGTGGGAAATGCCACTTGTTGCCTGTCCTCCCATGGAGGCCATTCCTGTTGCTACTGGTGTTGTTATATTATGATCGCCAGAGAGTCTTTGGTTGTAATTCTTCTCAGCCCAGATGAGTCAGGAGAAAATAACACTTGCCATGTAAGTAGAGTGTTGTCCTCTCCATCCATATCTGTGGACTTATTTTGCTTTGATTTGTCCAGGTCGATGCAGTCATTGGTTTTAGCTGAACAAAAATGCCTCAGGGAATAAATGTACTCTGTGTGCTTTACCTGCACAGTTTATAGGTTTTAATTACTTGCTGCTCTGTCACGGTAAGGTTCAACTGTTATTCACAACAAGCATCCTTTCTGCAAGACGAAGTAGTGAAGGTTTTAAGGGAATTAACATTTCCATTTGTTTCTGTAAACTTTGCAAATTATTCAAGATTTATTTTTTAAAATCTTGGTATGACTGTTTTTATTGTCCAGGAGATCACTATATGGACTGTACCCCTACAAGTCCAGCATGCTTGGACTGGAGACTCTGGGCGATCCATCAGGTGACTGGGATATAGTGGAAACCATTGGCAAAGGAACTTATGGAAAAGTCTACAGAGTGACCAACAAAAAAGATGGGAGTCAGGCAGCAGTGAAAGTGCTGGACCCGATTAATGTAAGTCTGATTAAAGTGTGTTTACTGCTGGACCCGGCTTCTTGTTGACTGTTTTCAATCTCACAGAACTGGTTAGGGTTTAGATGCAGTATCTGTTCAGGCTATTTTTGCAGAATAGTAATGATGTGTTTGTATGATGTCAGAAGGTTTGAGGTGTATGAGTTTGTGCTGATGCTGTTTGGCAGCGAAGTAATGGTGATCTTAAGGTGTTTTGACTGTTGTGGGAGTAGATCTAGCTCTGGATGAGCGCCCATTAGCTCAGTGGTTCCCAGCTTATCTGGTTTATAGCACCCTGAAATGACACTATTTGACTTAACCAAGATAGCAGGCAGAAAGAACAAATGAATGTTTGCAAATGCAGAAGAAATCTGTTGAACAACTCCCCACCTTATGTGATTATGAGAGGAATATGCTTTGTAGATTTGAGCTTTTGCTGTTTGCCCTTCCTGGTGCTACCCCCAAGGGATTTGTGTTTCCTCTTGGTCTTGAACCAGGGATCATTTGCATGTTAGGTGAATGTGTAAACCACTACCTACACATGCAGTTAAGACCATGGAAAATTCAAATACCTGAATTTCACTAAACTTGGTGCACAGACTTCTTGGACATGAAGATAACATATAAACTGCACAGCAGTTATTCGTAAGATAATTGCATTTCAATAAGAGAGAGATCATTTGGAAAAATAAATTATTTATTCAAAGCCAGAATTTGAATAAAAGCTATTTGGTGATCAGACTCAGATGAACCATTCCAGCAGAGCGGACACCCATCAGTGATAGAAACTGAAGATGAAGATGACAGGTTAGATGGGGCTCCGAGAGACTGGGGTAAAAAAAATAATTATAGTTGAGGTCTAACCGACCACCTGTATAGATACCCACATGTTGCTCAAAGGAACCACATGTGACTTTAAGTCTTAATACAAGTAAAGCATCTGAGTTATAGAAGAATGTATCCCCATGGAGTTGTCACAAAAGGGAGAATTGGAGACAAATGCTTTTTCTTTTTGAAATGTCACTGTCAGCCTCCTAGATTCACTTGCATGGCAGTGGACCGTGCTGTTAATTGAATCTGAGGGCTTTGACCCACATGTTGGGAACCACTGATTTAGATTAGGGCATGCTAATGTAACGTGTAAATACAGCCAGTTCTGCCAGGTGTTATCTCATAGCTAAACAAAAGCATAACTAAACCTGCCTAAAACTCCTAAGAGGTTTAATTACTCTGCAAATCCATTTTTAAACACTTTCTTTAGTTGAACCTGCACCTTTTTTATTGTTTGTTACCTTCTATGGCCTTTTTTGGCTCTTTGTACATCACTCACAAGCCTATCCTGTAGAAGTAAAACTTAGCTTAAAGATGTAATTTAACTGCTGGCTTTATGCACATTAAACCTCCAGGTTTTCCCGATGAATGATATGATATCTGACATTGCATGTATGGCTCACTGTAACCTTTTATTATATAGTGTTGGTGAGGAAGTTTCTACCTTGCAGGACCTCATAATACTGCGACAGAAAACTAAAACCACTGTGTTTTTCTTTGTAACCAACTTGTCTCAGCATTCGAGCCATTCAAACAGAGTAAGTTGCCGGTACTTTTCCCCCTCTCCATCTTGATGCAGTCGTACTTGCACTTGCTCCTGTGATATATATCAATGTCTCCCCTTTTCATTTATTTCCTGTCGTGCTAAATTTAACGTGCTCTTACCAGAAACTGTAGCTCCTGCATCGCCTGTATCCTCTCTGTATAACCGTCCATTTGTTTGCGTGATAAGGATACTGTAGACTCTGAATTGGCAGCATATTGTGGGAGTGTGACTCGGTCTGAGGCGAGCCTGTGATTGTGTCAGTGGAACAATCCCCATCCTGGCAGCGCTATCCACCATGATGCGCCCCTGATGGCCATGAAGATGAAGCTGCCTCCTCTCCCATCCCTCTCCCTGATTAGACTGCTGACACTATCACTCAGACATCCAGGAAGAGAAATTCTGCCTCTCTGACTGTTGATCTTCCCTCCCACTGAGATTTACTTTGATAGAAAAGTGCTTCCAGAAATAGTTCAGCACAGCGGCCCATCCCTTCCTTATTTACTGAGTTTATAACCCCAATTTTAGGTTTCTTATTATAGTAGCCTAGTTCACTAAAAATGACACGCAGCCTGAAATATTGAAGCACAAATACACCTTTTATAACACATCACAGTATTGATTTATCTCTTTCCTTGCTGTACTTAAACACTGCTTGTTTGCTGATGCTGTTTAAAGGATGTGGATGAGGAGATTGAGGCAGAATACAACATACTGAGGTCCCTGCCCAACCATCCTAACGTGGTGAAGTTTTATGGCATGTTTCATAAGTCCGACAAATTAACTGGCGGACAGCTCTGGCTGATACTGGAGGTGAGCACTTTATTATGTATATTTGTATAACACGTGTTACACTTTTCATACTTTATGAAGGGCTTATTGTCAGTTCTCATTAAGGCAACTGTGGTTGGGAAAATTATTGCGACCATGTTCTATAAACTGGCAATCTGAAGAAACTGAAGACAGGGACCAGGTCTGCCACAGCACACAGTTAGTTGCTGTCTTCAAAGTGACGTTGGTGTTTCAAGACAGCCATTAAAACAGTCACTCTGTCAGTCTGTTATCAGTATGTGATCTCATTGGCCCTGACAGGCTAAGATTAAATGTAATGTGTTGGCACTTATTTAGAAACTGGCTGACTGCAGTCTTTCTGAGTCAGACTGCGATTGTTAGGAAATAGGTTGCCTCCCGTCGAGCAACCTGTGCAATCGCTTTGTGATCAACAGCTAGTCTCCTTGCAGTTTGTTGCTTATAGCAAACAAATTCAGTGCAATCACCAAATTTTTCATAGTTGCAAGGAGGTTGCTGTCTAGTTTTTACTCTAGTGTGATTGAGCCATAAGAGTTAGATCCTTATGTTTGTAGGTTAAATATGAATCTACACCATAGCCAATTAGCTTAGCATAACAAAAGAAACAGCTAGCCTGGCTCTGTCTGAAGCTGTCTAAATCTGGCTCTCAGCCCCTTTAAAACTCGGTAAAGATGATATTCTGTCACTATCATTTAAATCCCTGCAAACAACAGTGTAGAAAGAAACAACACATTTTGGTTTTATTACCAGGTTTATACCACTTGGAAGCTTTTGCTAATGCTTTATGTCTGCTTTGGCTCAGTGGGAAATGGGCCATTTGTGTGTCAGGTGTACTCTTCAGTTCGGCCATAATAATGGTGGATAAAGCTGTCATTTACCTCAAAGACCACCCATGTCTCTGACAGTCAACAAAACGGCAGAAAGGAAGAAGCGTGCTAGTCAATAATAGCATTACAAGTTTCAGAAACAAAGAAAATGAGAGAGAAAAACACGTTATTAGGCCTGAGGGATACACAGTGTGAGGTTGGTGGGAAATGCCAGGGTTATTCCAAGCTTCAAATTAGCCATGCGTGTATGCACAGTTAGTGCAATGATTGTGATACCAAACAATCTGTTACCTGGAGTGTCTTTTTCCTGTATTTTGTCACAATTTCATAATCAAATGGCTCAAGTAAATAAAACCCCTATTTAAAAAAATGAAGCTTAAAACTCTAAAATCCTTTTTCACATAGACCGGTGACAAATTAAAGGAAAAACATTAATCCACTGTGGCTCACAGTCCGAGAAACCTGGGAATTAGTTATGCCAGCAGAGACATTTTGCTGGGATAGCTTTTGCCTTTAGTCAGAAGGTCAGTGCAAATCAACATAAAGTGTTCTGAGTTATCAGCTTTACAGCTTTTCAGGATCAGGATCACAGTGACTGGTTTGATTAGAAGTCACCAGTTCTTAACCTGTTTGAATGCTCTGAGACGTTTTGGTGATGTGTTAGGTTAGCTGATTCACAGACATGAAGAATCTTTGCATATTGAAGCTGCTCTCTGACCAAGTACTGACCAAACACAATAACACCATACTGAGACACTTTATGTTGGTTTACCCTTTAATTTGTCGCTCTTCTGTATATAAGAAAGCATTGATCTGGGTCTCAGTTAGCCAGGAAAGACCACCTACACGAATGTCAATGCTATTGTGCTGCTCTGCTTTCTCTAACTTGTGTGTGTGGGCTAGCTCTTTCCATGAATCATAATCTGGAGTGGTGAGTGATGGACGAGTCACTGGAGTTTCTCTGTCTCCCTCCCAGCTGTGCAACGGCGGCTCTGTCACAGAACTCATCAAAGGCCTGCTGATGCGTGGCCAGCGTCTGCAGGAGCCTGTTATCGCATACATCTTATGCAGTGCCCTCTTGGTAAGATGGCCCTCTGCAAAGCTGCAAATGCAGGGGGAGGAGGTGGGACACCAACATGCAGAGAGCGGGCTGAGGATTTATTTTCAGCTGGGGAAGTGTGACAAGCAGTTATGAATGTCTCTCCTTACGAACAGCTGTTTGAGTTCTTTTATGTAGTTTGTACAGCTCAACTTTTAATGCATCATATGCAGATTTATTTATTTATTTTACGCAAATGACTAATTGTGTGTCGCGATTCATGCTCAGCAGCACCTTGCATTATCTGTCCTCTAATTTAAAAGGGTCTCCAGCATTTGCACAACAACCGGATTATCCATCGTGACGTCAAAGGCAACAACATCCTCCTGACAACTGAGGGAGGAGTCAAACTGGTTGACTTTGGTAATGATCTTTGAAAGAGGCAATTTAGCCGCTCCAATCTTTTCTCTGAAGTGCGCTGTTATAGATAAATGACTCGTTTTTTGTGAGTGATCTTTTGGAAGTGTCAGCAACATTGTTTGTGAAGGCAAACACAAGCGCAGGATAAATCATTTAACCCACACTTTAGTCCCATGCTCACCATAACGTCTTTTAATTCATGGACCGTAGCCTTAGCCCGAAGCTATTATTGCTCATTTAAATTGCATTATTTGATCCTTTGCATATTAAAAGAAAGCTGCTATGGCAAATGACTTTGAGTCACCCCCAGGCATGTTTATGTCCCCTGTGTCATGGAGATGAAGTGGACTCACGCTGATAAAAATCTGTCCTACATAATTTGAAATGATTATAGCCCATTATTATTGCTGCTTGGCAGGTTGCCACACTAAATTATATGCCAGGATTTATTGATTAGTTCAAACATTTACTGTCTGCTGTAATTTATCCCAAGAAATATTCACGCTAATGAAGTAAGATCGAATTTTGCGATTCCTTTTCCATTTTTTTGTAGGTGTTTCAGCTCAACTGACGAGCGCACGACTGCGGAGGAACACGTCAGTCGGGACACCGTTTTGGATGGCTCCTGAGGTCAGAGTCTAAGGGCTGCACACGCATGTTCATGTCTGGTAATGCAGCAGTAAAACATGCACACGTGTTTTAGTGGCTAATGGATTCTTTTTATATACATGTACAGTGTGATGTAGCTGTTAAACAGAGCGCCTCAGTTATTTCCGTGTGACTCTCCCTCCCATGTGTCATTGTGTATTCCTCTCCACGGGTGCAGCTCTTGAGGTCGCCTCAAGGTTAATAGCTGGGAGTCTGTGGCCCCTCGGCTTACTCTTTTGGCAGAAATGAGGTGCGGTGATTGAGCTGGTAGGGAGGGACCTCGGGGGCAATTAGAATAAACTCAGCTGTAAAATGTAGTGTCAGTTATAATTATTGACTGTGGCAAAGAGAAGCTCGTACCCAGAGCTACTGCACTGACCTGCCTTTCAGTGCTTGTTTTTAAATGGGCTGTGAATAAGCTTGGCTGACTGTTTTTGGCATTAAGAGGTTTTTGTTCAGGTTCACAATGCTTTTTTTTTTTTTTTTTTAAAGTAATTTTCTTTGAATCATTAATCTGAATTTAATACCCTAAAAATCAAACAAAATTAATCTCACCCCTCTTTCTAGAAAAACGGACTTTCCACTCGGTGACTGTCTAAAATGGACCCTGTGAATTGTTTCCAGGTCATAGCCTGTGAACAGCAGTACGACTACTCCTATGATGCCCGCTGCGATGTGTGGTCTCTCGGCATCACAGCCATCGAGCTGGCAGACGGAGATCCCCCTCTGGCTGAGATGCATCCAGTAAAAGCCCTTTTCAAGATCCCACGGTGAGTCCAGTAGAGGGCGCTCCTGCCACACAGCTGGAGGCAGCTGCCACAGGGACATAAAAAAAACCCTTTCCTTACTGTCAGGAGGAAAATTCTGAACTGAAATTTATGATCAAACGGATAAAAGGTAAAAATCACTGCGGCTTCTCTGACAACTGATTTTGTGCTGAATTTAGAAAATAAAAAGCTGAATCGGTAGGCTCTGCTTCACTCTCCCAGTTGCCGCTGCATTTTCGTCTTTGCTGTCTGAAAGGACGCATCTGCTGAATAATCAGTGTTTAAAATCTCCATCATCAGAAACGTAGAAGTGTTTGGCCTTAAAATTAATGCAGTGATTGAATCTGTAAAAATATTCACTGCTGGAAACCGTGTGTGTCTGATGATCATCTGAGAGCTTAGTGGCTACACGCAGTTGACCTTTTGTTATCAGTACAATCGCGCAATTATCTCTCAGTTAGGTAGAGATATGCCCCTTCTGATTGCAATTTGCATTGGTGATTAGCTCCATTCACATTGAGATGAGGCTGTCACCTCCTCCCAGTCACAATATTATCTCCTCCCTGCCAAGACTCGGGAGCAGGCCTTGTGTAGCAGGAATTATGGGAGCTAACGCAGCATTTCATCAGCACCAAATTTTACACCAGAATGTAAAATAATTATACGAGAAATTACAGCTGATGGCAGAGCGCATGGGTGAAGATTTTGTCAGGCTTTGACTCTGTAACACATTTGTAACTCTTTTTCTCGCTTCGGGATCGAGTTTGGAGGATTCATCATTCATGTCTTTATGTTTTGCACGGAAATAAATGCAATTATTTATTGAAATCTGCAAAAAATAAGTAAGGCAAAAACAGAGTTTGTACAATTCCAAGTTTGATTGTCAACACTTGGTTTGATCGCATTTTCTTAGAGCAGTCTTCAGGAATAGTTTTCCAGGCTTCTTGAATGATATTCAAAGCTCTTCTTTGGATGTCAGCTGCCTTTTGCTTCAATAATTTTGAGGTTTGGGCTCTGAGGAGGCCAATCCATGACTGATAGTGTCCCACTGTGTGCTTTTCTATTAATGTTTGCTTCTACTGCACTGGCAGTGTGTTTGGGATCATTGTCAGGCTGAAAAATAAATCTGTTGCAAATCATAAACCAGTCTCCGTGATGTTTTACAGACGGCTGTAGACACTCACTGTTGTACCTCTCACCTATACATACATATATATATACATATAGATGAGAATTTGAGATAGAAATGTCAAATTCTTTCCTATTTTTTAAAGACACGACTTTCAGATGCTGTTCATCTGCTGTAGATGTTTTTTAGGCCTGCCATTTAGTCTTTTATCCCTCAGTTTCCTAATATTTGTAAGGACACACTGCACAACATGCTGTTATACATTTTAGGATAATGTCTCTTTGGGAATCACCTCGATAGTGCAAAAACTTTATTTTGGGCCTGTCAAACTGTGCCATCTTTGGCATATTTTGTCAATTCAGCTAAAGACATGGAAACAAAATATGTGTTTTTGTGACAGGCTGCTGGTAACAAAGGGCCTAAAGATGCACTTTAAAATGTTATGTGTAGATGCGACACTGGTTCATCCCTTGAGTTAAGCGCCTTTCAGATGCATGTATGATTCAGAGGTCAGTGTTAAGTAGCTTAGCAAAAAAAATCCCAAAAGTCCTCTAAAAAATGATGAGGTACCACAACTGAACTGGACTGAAAATGAATATAAAAGCACCCAGTGTCCAAAGAAACGTTTTAAAGACTTTCACAAAGCCGGGACTGTTAGTCAAGACCACAAAAATTAAAAGAAAGTCTGGCTTCTTGGAGGCAAAATATAAAGAAACAAGTTGCAGTCATACTTCCCTATTAATCACCAGCCATAATATTAGACATTTCCATTTCACCAGACAGTTTTCAATCATTCCTTGAGGTTTCTTTGACCTTTCGCCCTTTATGAATAACTCTGATGATGATAGAATTGGAAACAAATACTTCAGTGACATTTCGTCATCTCTTTTCCAATCAAAATGTGTATTTTAGCTTTTTAGTGCAAAACGGGACCTTAAAGGTTTAGAAGTTGTTATAAATCACCACGAATGTGTCGAACCATGAAATGATTCTGTTAACATGTCATTTATCTTAAATATGTTTTCCCCCATTGCTGCAGCGGCGCAGACAAAATCACGAGAAAAACCTTTTATGACTTTGTGAATAAGGAAATGAGTTTCACCTTTGGGTCTTCGGTGGCAGTGAGAGTGATTCATGAGGAAATCCAAGAGATTCATCGTCACAGGTTTCGATCAATCCACAAATTTTTTTTCCTTCTCAATTTAATACGTCACAAACTATTACTAGAGGAGCCTCTACCTGGAGTATTGTCCTTGAGTGGTGCATGTTTTATGAAACCTGTGTAAACGCTAAAACATGTAATAAGCATTTTCATCTCTCTGGTATTTTACAGTTGCACGTAGTAATGTGTTTCCAGGCTAAAGGTTTCACTGTCGGGTAGTTAATCTTTTCTGTATTATCCACTTTGTCATTCTTTCTCAGCTGAAACACATCCAGATAGTAAAAAGGAAGACAAATATGCACGGTTGTGGATCACATTCCTTGCTTTCCTATGCTGTTTGCTGGACAGTCTCTCGAGTCAAGCTGTGGATTTAATTGCCCATGTGTGGGGCCACTCCTGAGCCCAGCAGCAGATAGCCATTATGTCACCGCTTTGGCCGTGCTTTTGGTGGAAATGATTCTCATCCCAGCAGGCTACCATGGATGATAAGAGAAGCACTGACAGCTGTCAGAGAGGACACTGATGAGCTCGATGAATTAGGGGCACCTTGGTAAATGGTCTGTTTGTGCGACAGAAAAATCACACACTTGATAAGTTGTGACACCCTGTTGAAGCATGCATATGCTTGTTGCTTAATTTCTAAATTGAACCCAAGGTGTCCATGATGCTTTTTTAACTATTACCTGCTGTTTTGAGTGCGTATGACAGATGTATGATGATCATGGTGACCATGAATGAAGGTAATGGAGCATGTCAGAGGACAAAGCTGTAAAATCAACTGCAAAACTAATTATAGATACTCAAGACGAAGATGGTGTCTGATATTTAATATGCGGAAAGGTTAATTGCTTGAGCCAGTGCTCTCGTTGCCACACAGCCTCACAGTTTCCATGTAAAGTCAAACCAAAGTGTGTGTAAAATACTTTGTAAAGCTTAGAGGCGGCTGGCAAAGATGTCCAAGGTTGTGTTTATTCAGCGTTACCCCTGTCGATATTAGCTACGCATTAGATAGTACATGTATGTGTCTGAGTAAGACCAGGACAAGCAGAATAAAAGTAAGTGATGGCTTGTCAGAGGCAACAAAGGCTAACACAATCATTCAGCTGAAGGAAAGATATCCAGACTTGAGTGCTGTTTTGTATTATAGTATGTGCAGCAGAACAGATGTCAACAGAAGTGGTGTCCCCTATTGCTTTCAGGACACCATATTTTGAAGCCTTGGTGTCAGCGCTTTTTTCTGCCACCATGCTGGTCGTCTAAATATGGCAAACACTGCCGTATTTAGACCAGAGGATGGAGTGCTAATTCAGCAGCTGATGCTAGCAAGCTCGATCAAGAAGCTGCATTCATAAGCTGCGTGGGTGGAGCACACAGAAACAGACACCTGCTGATAAAGCAGGATATTAATACTAGTATTACTATCGCTATTTTACTCACCAAAAGTGCAGCATAAACCTGGTTATTTGCCAAATATTAATTTAACAAAACAAACTTTGAAAGCCACCACAAATAGAGACGAGAGGTCCACATGAGGAACTGGAACTGTTGTGGTTGGCGGCAGCAATAAGTTGAACTCAATATTAGTTTTATTTTTTTTGTAAATGTGCAAGCGAGATGGAGGTTATTGTAGCTGTCATAGGGCAAGAGGTGGGGTACACTCTGGACAGGTTACCAGTATATCTATAAAAATGTGGACTAGGTAAAGTAAAACCCCAACAGCTAATTAATCAATATTCCCATTTTTTCCCATTTTAGCCTCAGCCTATCCAAGCATACATTTACCTGTGTGAACAAATCACTCTCTGTTGTGGTGGCCATTGAAGGAACTGCAGATTTGGCACTTTAGCTTGGCTTCATTTTTCAGTCCTGAAGGTTGCTGGTGGATATAGAAATGTTAGTATGTATGTGCCCTGTGCTGTAACCAGTGGTTAGAAATTAGTGAGGTTCCTTATTCCTCAAACTGTGCCCCAGTAGAAAAGGCCATTGTTCTGTAGAGACTAGGTCCTAAAGCTGCAACACAATCAAACCCAGAAATTTTGAAAGCTATAAAGGATTTTATTTTGTACAGCTTCCCTCTTTTGCAGGAGCAACAGTGTCTATAAAAATATGAACGCAGAGTGTTGTTTGTATAAAACAATGAAATAAAACAAAATGTCAAAATACAGATTATTCCTTCCCCTGAAATTAAAATAGCACAAGGGAGAAAATTGCTTACTCAATGGCTCGCTGTGCCTCTGATTCACCAATTAGGATTCCTCATGAGTTATGCATTGACCTGACCTCCTAAACGCCAAAACAGAGGCCAAAAATTCTCCAATTTTTCCTAAAGTCTTTTCAAAATAAAAGCCGTCTAGGTTGTCAGACTGTCCAAGTGATTTGTACAAATTTCTACTGTATTATTTAAAAGGTCCAGACTTTGGTAGCCTCGTAGCTTGTTATGACAAGCCTAATGCTATTTTTTTATTGCAATAACTGCTGGTGAACATTTAACAAGTTATGGAGCTAAGACTGAGAGAAAACGCATCCATCCTTAGTTGCTTTCTTGGCTCAAAATCCCTCATCCACCAGCAAAAATGAAATATTTTACATGTGGATGATCAGGGTTGAAAACCTGCCACATTTTCTGTCACAGATGACTGGCAGAAATAATGCTGAATTTTGAAACCGTGTACCCCACTGATGTTTTATCAAATCGCTCATTGTTACTGTAAAAAACCTGCCACATCGCCTTGATTTTTCTATATTGGCATTTTATGTAGGAAAAAAAAGTCAGTGTAGTGAAGTAATTGTACACTTAATGTTCCAGATTTCCCATTATCTGACACTGACGATCCCTGACAAGGAAATCACTGTCTGGTTGGATGACTTTCCAATCACGATTAAAGGCTTCTCATATCTCCACCTTTGATGCAGTTATCTTACCGTCGCTGTGTACTGTCCTGGACTGGAGGCACTGGTGATGTAGCTACCAAGGACATGATAAATGTAGCTGTAGTTTCTCAGTGTTCATGCATGTATGCTCAAAGAAGTACTGGTGCTGTGGCGGCAGTGATGGATGAGCCAAAATTTTAAGTATGTGCTCCATTCGCTGACTAAGTCTTTATTTGGGGCCCTGGTACTCCTTCTCTGTTAAGCTTATATAAAGGCCACTGTGTCTCTGCTTAATGCAAGCTGGAGAATACAACAGCAGTGTGTAAGGTACTGAAACCTTAAGTGTGGCTTTAGTTGATTTGTGAAATTTAAAGGGTGTCACTGCTTGTTTCAGATGCTGAAGAACGGTCAGGTTTTATAATGACGATGTTGACTGTAATCACACGTGCTGTTTGCAATGTCTGCATTGTGTGTCCAGGCTGGAGAATAGACTATGGAGAAGCTTAAAGTACTTCTTAAGTTTCTCCTTGAATATAAATTGTAATATTTTATGTCCTATGGTAAATACAGGACTTAAAAATTACGCATATCTAGTATCATATTCAGACATTTTACTGACTTTATTTTTGTCTTGCTGTCAGGGGTTGTTGACACCTCTCTGGTTTTGCCTCGATCCACAGTGACTCGAGCCTGACAGTACGAGCTCTGCCTGGTCCAAAATTTGAATAAGCCATTCTTGTTTACAATATTAGCTGGCAGTACTCGCAAAAACTGAAGGAAAAAATGCGGCCTGAGTTCACTAAGCACAATGAGCGCTCTTGACAGTGTTATCAGCAGTGCGCTGCTATATTGACTACGTAACGTATAAGCAGTATGGTACGACGTCAAGGCGAGAACGTGTCTTCGGGCTCATATTAGAGGTTGCATTGAGGCAGTCAGTTACTGGCTTTGATCTGCACTTTGGAAAGGATTGCCTGTCTGAATTCTTATCAAAGACTCGACTAACTTAGTGCTGTAGAAAATGACAGATTTTGTGCTCTAACACCCCCCCTCGCCCTTGTATCTTTAAAAAAAGATATTAAACATATGCCGTGTTTGTCATAAACTAAACTGTTTTCATTTTTTAATTCAAACTGTGTTTTCCCCTCTTTGCTCTGCTTGTCTGGCAGCTTTCTAGAGCAGCATGTGCGATCTAATTAACACAGTCAGTAAATGCATTGACCAGGTGTGTCACTGTTTGCCTGACAGTGACAGAAAGCTCGGCCTCCGGCTGTCAGGCTGACGGCTCCTGGTGAAGATGACTGTACTCAGGCTCTTTCCAGCCTTGGCTCCTCATACAGACCTGCTTCCTGTCATCGTGCGCACTTGAAAAGTGTTAGGCTCATTATGGATGGCCTCCGTAAATGCTGCTGACAGAGGTATAACTAGCTCCCATAATTTTGGCTCCCAATGGCAGATGCTTCCTGCCAGACAGTGGAGGAGCAGTTATCATTTGTCACTTTTTCTCTGGCTGCCACAGACCTGGACCCCGATCAGCTTGTCCTCAGACCATCAGACTCTCAGAGGAGTCTGATAGTCGCACTCTAACTGCCAGCCGTCATTTGTCAAATGATTCAGGAGACATGCTGACAATCTTGGTCATTTACAGCAATAATCATTTAATGCGAATTTCCTTTAATATCTCCTTAGCTTTTGGTTTTTTTTAAAATGTTGTTTTGATTTGTGTTTCAGAAATCCCTCACCCACATTACGACATCCTGAAGAGTGGAGCAGGAGTTTCAGCCATTTCATCAGCCAGTAAGTCTCCTCTGACTTCAGCCTGTCAGCCTTTGTCATCTTACAGTCAAGATTTTGTAGAAAAGTGGTCGTTTTCACAGAAACGGCTGTGAAGAAAGAAACATTTAATATTTGGGCCTCCTGCGGGAAATTACAGATTTTGCTGATTTATGGTGACAAAAAACAAATAGAAGCATTACAGGAATTGATTTGGGGAAAAAAAGGTGCTGTGGACAGAAGCTCAGACTTCTGTCCACAGTACAAACGGTATTAAGGAGAAAAAAGGAGCAGCATTTCAAGAACAGAACATTTTTACTGTTATCTGCTATGTCATAAAAGTGAAACTGAGACAATATCTGCTCTCACAGCAGGATTATGATCCACAGTGGGCTTCAGCTTTGAAATACAAGCTGTAGCTTATGAATTAACCTTTTAAATGCCACTGAAGATCTTTGAGGTGACCTTAAAGATGCTGTGAGTGCCAAGGCAACCTAAAAATACTGTATCTCAGAACTATGGGTGATCTACATTATGTCGTATTAGTGCCATTGATACTATAATAAATACTGAGCTCAGAGGATAATCATTCTGAGAATTTCTCAGCTTGGGTGCTGGTAAAGCTCAGTGGGTTCAGTAGGCAGACTGTTTGCTGTGAGGCTGCTGCAGAGGACATGGTTAGAATCCACTGCGTGGCCTTATACTGTGTTGTCTGTTGTCTCTCCCAGCTTTTCAGTCTTCTCTCCACTGTCCTATCTCAGTAAAGGTCTGAGATTAAAGCCATAGATTTACAAGAAGAACTTGACATACACCAAAAGTCTGTAAAATTGTATAGATTTACATTTACTGGATAAAGTAATACTACCTTTCAAAATATGTTCATGAAGAATGTTAAACATTAAATGTTCCTGGAAAAATAATAATAATAATTTTAAATATAATACTTTCATTACATTGCCTCAAATAAAAGAGGAAACTTCAAATAAGAAAAGGTCAAATGTACAAAGCAATAAAAACTGTGGATAATTAATTGAATAATTATTAATTCATTAGTTATTAGTTTTCACATATGGCAGTTTTTATGTCACCAGTCGTCTGTTCATGCACAGAGTATACTGAAAGAAGAGCTGGGCTTGTTTTTGTCATAATTATGTGATACACCCAGTGAGTGCTGGTCAGCTGGACCTTCAGATTTTATGACGAGAGCTGTTTTCTACAGACAGATAACAAAAAAACAGAATTAATTGAAGAGGTCACTAAAACATGACCTCTGAAATTTAATTTAGACGTGACTCTCGTAAATCTGTTTTCGTTTTGTTTTTGTTTGCTTTTATTATTTTTAGTGCTTTATTAATGTCGTTCTGAAGCGTGTTGATGTGTGTTTTTAATGGAGACCCCTAAATGATCAGCTGCCCTTACCCTAATGGGAATCCAAATAAACAAATAAAAAATACCATGTCAGTGCCTCCACACATAAGACAAATCTTTTTTCTTTTTTCTTGCATTACTATTTTAGTAGTGCAATGAGTGTGTGAAACTGTAAAACATATGGAGACAGATCTGTTTTAATCTGAACACCAGGGGGGAATGTGCATGTAAATATAGAGGGAAATGAAATTGATATTTTATTGCCCGATTCTATCAACCTCTCTTTCTATTCATTGACTTTCTTTTGTATAAATCTGCCACAGAGGAACAAACTAATTCACCTGAGTTATCAGTGCTATCTGAGGGCCAGATAACCTATCATTTCCTACACTGTGCAAAGCTAATAATGTCAGAGGTGGCTTGTAGTGGAGGCCTAGAAAATACAACCCTAATATCTACTGCAGAGAGGCGTGCAGGCCTTAACCGTAATGAGAAAATAAATTCAATTTGTTTGGAGGGTTATTTGTGTAGGGATGGTTTCTGATTGCATTGGTGGAAAAAAGAGTAAAAACAAGCAGACGTCATCTGCCTCAAAGGCCTGTTGGATTTTTTTTATGTCACTTCAGTTTTTGATTGGTCAGGAGGCATATTTCTCCTTAAATCAGCACAGATATTACTTTTTTACAATGTCATTGTCCTGGTTTTTATTGGCTACTCTTTGGATTGCAGCTCTGTAATCTGGGTTAATGGATTGTGTGATATCATATCAAAGTTAATCTCCTCAAACAAAGCCCACCAGAGTTCAATGTGAGGAGGCTGGACAATGTTATCAAGCTTTGCAGGCTTTTTGTGAACCCTCTGACAGTCCTGTCAGGCTTGTTGTGTATGTGTGTGTGTATGGAAGGAGGAAACTGAGGCGGAGGGTGGGGGGGATAATAAATCCATCACCGGTGTCTACACTTGTGCAGCCAAAGAACTGACTCCTATGACAAAGTGGCCTGCCTTTCAGTCTCCCAGCAGCACAGCCTTGCTAATAGCAGCAACCTCCACTTAATGTTCTGACGCTAATGAATTCATGGAATTAACTTTCTGAGCCTAAACTGATAAAAGAAACAGAATTTCAGTGTCGATTAGGTGTTAGAAGCTAGATCAGTGTTTTTACTCCTATCTTTCCTCTGAGTGCAATTGTTGGTGCTCAGAATTTTTTAAGTCTCTGGCTGTAAACAAACAGCACGAATCTGGATGTCTGGTAGATGTATCGTGGCACTCGGGTAGTGATTTCCAGTCTAGCAATATATCAAAACTGTCAGAGGGTGAAGCCAAATGTGTTCTGCGGGTGTTTCAGTGTGTGTGTGTGGCGCAGAAGAGTCAATATTAGAAGAGCGTTTGTATCAGCAAACTGACATCAGTGGCTGAAGGGTTGCTGCAGGCAGGCCTGTATCACAAAGTGACATCACTTGCTGGCAAACACTGCAGATCACAGATAGGACCTGCCGCTGTGCCACAGCAGGGCTTGTTTGGACTCGGGGCCATGGTGATAGTGACCATGTGGTCCTCGGAGAAGGATCGATTAGTGACCCACGCTTAAAAACACTTGCAAGCGGCACCGCACTGGTATGAGTATCACTCACAGTTGATCCAGACAAATCAGCTCCCCGCAATGTTCAGGTGACTGCACTTAACTGTTTAATTCACTCTGATTTATAGACTGATGAAGGACAGTGTGTCTGTCTGAGGGTTTTAGAGGTAACTGTGTGATATTTTGTTGCTTTAAGGTGTCTGATAAAGGATTTTGAGGCACGTCCATCTGTGACCCACCTTCTGGAGCACCCCTTCATCAAGCAGGCCCATGGCAAGGACATAGCTCTCCGTCAGCAGTTAGCAGCTCTCATACAAGAGCAGCAACAAATAGGCTGCAAAACCAAATCCAAGTAAGTATCCCAAATCTTTTTTTTTGTTTTTTGTTTTAAATTTCCCTGTTATGAAATAGTAAAGATGCAAACTGTATTAGTTCATTTGGATGTTGAAGATCTCTATTTCACTGATAGGCATGGATTGGGTGCTGATATTTTTTCTGTCCAGTAGGGGGCAGGGTCTCATCTTCTTACACTCCAGCACAGAAATGAAGATGAAACAGAGTAATGGAAATTACAGTATGTGATTAAAGAGAAGTAAGGGCAGTATGACTAATTCAGAAGGAGTTATTGTGCTGAGTAACCTTAGATTAATAAATCCCAATTAGTCCAGTGGATGTACTTAGTACACATCACTTCTCCAACCAATTAACCCAATGATGGAATAATTAAATATAGATTTGCACCCAGAAATAGGTGACATGGCAGCATTACAGCCTGTTCACTTTTAATGAGCTAATTAGTTATTTCCTTCATTAATTAAAATAGCAACTACCTTACAACCTCCTTATGTGTGTAAAAAATGAACGCAGCCATATGAAAAGGCACATGTTGAAAGTTAAATCTTCACCCTGACACTCACATGGCAGCAAGCGACAGAGCAGAAAGTCTCCTGTTTACTGGAGAAATACTGACTTTGGCATTGCTTAATCTTCATTATAAAGGAGTTTGCTGAACCTGCCCTTGACTGAGAGTCTTGATGTTGTGCCAGCTCTGTTTACTCCCGGGAGTGTGCAGAGTCTGTGCCTGAGCCTGATCCCGAATTCCTGTCCACAGTGAAAGTGGATAATGGGATTAGGAGCTTGTAGGGCGAGAACTGGGCTCGCCTGGTTTAGTCTCTCATGCCACAGATCAGCAAACAATGACTCCAGATAAGAATAAAGACATAGAGAACTTAAAAGTAGCTGCCGTAGGTGGAATAGTGTGATTTACTTCAAAGCAGGAGCGAGTGAGACGCTAGAGGTCTCAAGTCTTTCTCTAAGGGACATGATGACGGGGATTGACTTTATAGGGACCACATACCGAGCATATTTCTGTGCTGTTGCATTTACACTATATTCAGAATAGAGAATTAATTCAAAAAGTAGATGAGGAAAAAGCTCCTAACCTGAAGCTTGAATTTATATTTCGAGCTAGTCTTATGATTGTATATTTATTATAATGGAATATGGATGCATGTTACAAATGTAACAAAAGAAAAGAAAAAAACTATTGTTTGTGCTTTTGTTGAAGCCCCAAACCACCAAGCATTAAAATTAGGTTGCACAATGCAACCTAACTAGTCCACGTTTAGAGGTTACTTGTTACTGTTGCTTAACCCTGTTTTATCATAAGCTCTTCAGGCTTACGAGTCAAAGAAGTGAAATTAAATATGGCCCACTTATCTGACCTGACACTTGATTAAATGCTTATTAATATTGTTTGAAAACTGGGACGGCTTTCAGCTGCATGTTACAAAAAATAGCATGGACAAGTCAAAATGTCATGATACTAATACTGGGCTGGTTAGGTTAAGCTATGTTATGGCTATCTCAGTATTACTATATGATTTCGCTGAGTACATTCGGCAATATTATTATTGTGGTTTCTAAAAAAAAAAAAAAAAAAATCTGTCAAGTTCATTTTTAATTGTATTTGCTTTTTTCTTCTTGTTTGGAACGTTAATAACTCTGGAAATAAAAGTGGTGAAAGAAATGTTAACGCTATCCAAAATGCAATATTGCTCCCTGTGTTGTAGTACCAACCACAAAGCTACTGGTTATTTATAGAAGTGCATGCTGCAGTATTGTTTAGTCTGTCGTGCTGCTAATAAAGTGATGTACTTAATCCCACTTACAAAAGCAAAAATAAAAAACCCAAAGTAAATAAAAACTAGGGGTGTTAGATGTTGTTTAGATATAAATGCACTGCTTCCCCTTTCAGCCACACACTTTCCACCCCATTCAAGTATATATAATGAAAAATTGGTATGAACGATTTTGTTCAATCAAATATAAAAATCACATGGTCAAAGAGGATTTCACAATTACCTATACGTGTAAATAACATGCTGGAATTATATTCCAGCTAGACTCATTCTAGTAGCTTTAAATGCCTTTGCCTTAAAGTACAAATATACAAATATTTTTCTAATATTAAAATCTTGATATGGTCTACAAATACAGAAACCTTGATTTCACAAGGTAATGTGACAATAAGTGTAATTTATTATATGGAAATGCAAATACAATTTGGAGATGCATAACAAAATGAGTGTATTGGTATTTACTAAAGTAGACGTTACTGTTGTGAAATTAAAACATTACAGAGCTTAAGTGTCATATATGTACATAAGGAAATGGGTCGTTTTAGCCCAATGGTGTGTGGTTGCTGTGCAACATGATGTCATAATAGAACCTTCAGTGATTTGGTGTATTATAAAAAGGTTATCATAGGAGGCTGGACAATGAATATTTATATTATTAGCACAATATAAATATTTGATTGCTGAAAAAACCCCGTAAATAACCCCCCTAAATTTAAGAAAGATTGTAAGTTTGATTTTTTTATGCTGTCTTAGGCAACTATTTTTGGCAGTTATTCTCAGATTTGTGACACTTTATTGACTTTTTAGACTGTAGATGGCCTTTGACTGGATGATGCTACAATTGGCTCCCAGCAAGATTTTCACACTGAAGTCTTTATTGGAACAAAGTGGGTTAAGCTCAGCAAAGGGCTAGATTGACTAGCTAGTACTGGTAGTTACTCACTTGTAAAAGGCTTTATATGCAGACTTAACTATTGGAGTCTGGATTCATGGTAGTATATGGGATTATTGACTCCACTAAACCATATTACGCTGATAAAAATGGTCAAAATTTTATGGCTGTTAGGTTTGGCTGATGTCAGTCTCTTCTCTGTGGAATTGACTACATTCATGTTGTCCTAAGCGACTATTATTGGTAGTCATGCTAAGATTTGTGATGCATTACATGTTATAGAAATGTCAAAATGTCCACTCTGTGTTGTGCATATACACATACAGCACACAAAGCAGTAGGCAATCACAAGCACCGCTCTGTTTTACTCTCTTTCTCACACTCTGTGGTTTCCCATGAGGTTTTCGTGGAGCCAGCTGGAGGTTTGTTGACCTCTGTCCACAGGGGCTCTTTGGAGAGTGATAGGTCAAAACATGAATAAAGTGCAACCACATCCTGTGATAATAGGAGTTTTGTCCCCTGGGAAAGCTTAAAGGGCCTCATGAAAAACGTGGAAGTGACTGGGTATTACATTCAGCCAGTCACACTACTGTTTCTCATTTAGTGGTCACTTTACAGGCTTAAAAGGCATCTCGTGTCCTTGACTTCATACAGGCACGTCCGGATCAATACTCGTAAAACCCTCATAATAGAGAGCTGTCCTGATGATGATCTGGTGAACCTGGAGTTCTTAGACGAGGTAGGATTTTATGTGTTTATCTCGTCATGCATTGATCAGCCCAAGCTGAAAAGTTGTTGATTTTAGGCTGCGTGTGTGTGTTTTCTTTTCTGCAGGAGACAATCATCAGCCATCTCCACAAGAGGTATGATGAGCTGCAGGTGTACACTTACGTCGGTGACATCCTCATCGCTCTCAATCCTTTCCAGAATCTCAGCATCTACTCTCCTCAGGTCGGTAACACATCAGTCACAAATCGTTTTTGTGTTTTTTTACAAACACAGTGGAAATGATGAATGGATGCCAGTCATGATGCAGGTTCTGCTTTAGTGGATACTGTATTTGTAGGGCTAGTTATTGTTGTTATTATTATTATTTTGTTTTTATTCACAGTAACAGTAACTATTATGGCAATTGTCATATTAGTTAGTGCAACAATCTGGCCCCCAAATTTTCTGCTCAGTCAGTTTAAATCAACTATTTTTAATCTTTTAAATTACTCTAAACATCTCTAATGCATAGTCAGCAACTTTGCATGCATTTTTCCTCAAATTTTCTCTTCACTGGATATCCGATATTGATATTATGTGACGCTGCAGAGTTTTGTCTTCTCCAAGCTGTTGGTTGTTAATTTCTTCAAAGCCGTAATAAAAATAAAAGTCTTCATGAATACTTTTATGCCCCTTTTAGTTCTCTAAGCTGTACCATGGCGTAAAGCGAGCTGACAACCCTCCACACATCTTTGCTACTGCAGATGCAGCTTACCAAGGCATGGTGACATTCTGCAAAGACCAGGTATCTTCCAGAAAAGTGACTGAATAGGTTCAAGCATTGTAGCGTGCAATCCTAAAACTGATAGAATAATAATGAAAATTATTTTGTAAAAAGTACTGTAGGTTTTACAAATGCTTTAAAGCAATTTCTTTTAATTACAATCAGTTATTTTTTAATGTCAATTTGGAAACTTTTGGACAAAAGCAAAGGAGCAAGGAAATGTTAGTAAATAACATATGAAAAATTATGGTATATGATGTCAGTGTTCCCGCTTGATGAACTGTTATCTCGTTTGTTTAGTGTATCATCATTAGTGGAGAAAGCGGTGCTGGGAAAACAGAAAGTGCTCATTTAATTGTTCAGCATCTTACTTTCCTGGGAAAGGTACTGCATAGTAGCATCATTTCTAACTTGTTAATACCAGACTTAACTACTTGATATAACTACTTCATAAACTATCTTAAAAATCTACCAGAGTTCATGAAATAATTATTTTCAGGCAAACAATCGGACACTCCGTGAGAAGATTTTGCAGGTTAACCCTCTCGTCGAGGCCTTTGGAAACGCTTGCACGGCAATCAATGATAACTCCAGTCGCTTCGGCAAGTACTTGGAGATGAAGTTCACGCCGACAGGAGCGGTTATTGGGGCCAAGATATCTGAATACCTGCTGGAGAAGTCGAGGGTCATCAAACAGGCTCCGTAAGCAGCTGCCCTTGTTTCATTCCTTCCTGCGGTTGGATTTGAGTAATTCATCTAACTTCTGCTTGTTTTTCCTTCAGAGGGGAGGAAAATTTCCACATATTCTATTACATATATGCCGGCCTTTACCACCAAGACGAGCTGAAGACTTACAGGCTGCCAGATGGGACACCTCCCAGGTTTGTGATGCAAATAATCCCATCATTCGCTCCTCACAATGTGGAAACTAATTTGACTGTCATAACATGAATCTGCAGGTACATTGACAGTCAGCACTGCAAAGTGATGCAAGACATTGTGTCAAGGAAACAATATAAAGAGCAGTTTGATGCCATTCAGGAGTGCTTCCGAAATATCGGCTTTACAGAAGAGGTACTAAACACTCAAGCAATCAGATATGCAGTGTTTGGGCACAGATCTATTGAGAGCTGTAATATATAAAATACGTAATATGTAACAATTTTCTTTTGATATCTTGTTTTTAGGAGGTCGACTCTGCTTACAAAATTCTCTCAGCAATTTTGAATACTGGGAATATTGAATTTGCCTCCATCACATCCCAGCATCAGACCGATATTAGTGAAGTGCCTAACTCAGAGGCCTTAGAGAACGGTGAGATGTTAGGCAGTGTGTGTTGTAAGCATAGACTGTAAATAAAAAAAGGTCACCAGTGACTGACACAAAAAAGTCATCAGTACTTCCCATAAACTTGTACGACCTGAAGTGTTTTAGGAAGTTAATCACTGACTGCAAAAAAAACATGATTGTATATCTTTAGTTGCTTTAAAAACAAGAACTTGTAGGGTGTAGTGTGAGTTTGAATGTATCTTGGATATTCTCTAAACCACACATGGTCAAAAGTATGCATATAGGCTCAGACATATACATTACCTCTCACTAATATTTGGTTAAATGCCCCTTAGCAAGCTGCACCATGATCAGCAAGCTTGGATATTTGACCAATCTTGTTGGGAGAATTGGTAGAGCTCAGCTGGCTTTTAAATAAAGTCCACAAATTGTTATCCATCCCCGAAACAGTTTAGATGTGTGTTTGGGATCATTGAGCTGTTGATTTGAGGTGATGTTGTAGAATTTGAGAAAAGGGAATCTTTCCACTTTAAATATCTGCAGTATAACCATGTTATACTTTGTTATTATAGTATTGTGATAAGATGCAGTAATCTCTTCACTGTGAAACTGATTGACTGTCTCGCCTTTTTCTCAGCTGCGTATCTCCTCAGCATTGGACCCGAGGAGCTCCAGGAAGCACTTACCTCTCAGTGTGTGGTCACGAGGGGCGAAACCATCATCCGCTCCAACACCGTGGACAAAGCCGCCGATGTCCGAGACGCCATGTCCAAGGCCTTGTACGGACGCCTGTTCAGCTGGATAGTGAATCGCATCAACTCACTCCTGCAGCCTGACATGAATGTCTGGTCAGTGCGTGCTAGTGATGAACAATTTGTTTGCATGCCCACTGTTTTTGTCTTTTCTGTAATTTCTTGGGGTGTAATTTCTCACTCAGTTTCTGCAAAGCTCTGATGACCTTTCTGGAAGTCTGCAGAGGTAGATGCAAACATGAAGAGGGGAATATCAATGGGAAAGCACAAGACAAGCAAAAGGAGAGCAAAAAAAGAAAAAAGTTTTAATAAATTTTTGATACAGAGTTGCGTGCAGAGAAAATAATGTTCAGATGATTAAAAAGACTTCAGAGAGACTGCAAAGAGGCTTTTCATTGATCCAAAAGAATTCCTTCATAAATATGAGCATTGACTGTCAAGGAGTCGTCTCTCAGAGATGAAGCCAGAGTTCCCGCCTGCATTCCAGTCATCTTAGCCGTTTCCTTATTGCCATTAATAACCTGGTAGCACTGGTTAAAGGTGACCTCTACATACTGTGGGTAATGACTGATCATGAAAGTAGCAGCTCCAAGCACTGAATATAAAATACAGGATCATAAATATCTATGCTGTGTTGCAGAAGTGAGTATTGTTAGTGCAGACATTGAAAATAACTGGAGGTTAAATCAATAGAGACTGAAATAAAAGCCATTTAAGAAGATCTGACTTTTTCAAAGACGGTGTTTATGATTTCTCGTCAGACTAGGCCATCCAGACCAGACTCCGTATTTGGGTGGAACTTGGATTATCATTAAAGTTTTATCAATTAATATGGCTGCTGGGGATTTGCTTGTTCCATCGCATAGAAGAATAAGTTTGTTTGTCCCCCTTTTTTTCCTTTGAAGTGCCGTAGAGAGCGGCATGAATGTGGGAATCCTGGACATCTTTGGATTTGAAAACTTCAAGAAGAACTCGTTTGAGCAATTGTGCATCAACATCGCAAACGAGCAGATTCAGTTTTATTTCAACCAGCACATATTTGCTCTCGAACAGGTGAGTTCTTCATGCATAAGTAGGTTTTAAATGATCCGCTCTAATGCACAAAGTAGAAGATACCACTGTAATGTGTTTGGGGTGAAAGAATAACACAAAATATGCGGAGAATATTCCATTTAAAACACTATTATGGAAATTAGTCACTTAAATAAATTTGGTGTTTACACAGCTACCAATGCAGAAAAGCTCTCAACATTAATTTTTCCTACAAGTCACCCCAAATTACTCTCTTAATTGATTTAATGAAGCTGTTTACCCTGAAGTGCGAAAAGCCTTTTTTCCTCGATGGAGATGAATTGACATCAATCAGAAACCCTTTTGTTTGAAGTAACTTTGCAACAGTCTTTTTTAAAGAGAACTCAAGAAAAGTGGCTCGGTTTAGTGATGTGGCACATTTTCTCATTAGATAGCTCAGTGTGCATTTCTTTAGAAAAATACAAACTATTATTTATTGAGGCCAAACTCCGCACGGCATATGGACTAATAATAGCCTCTGCACTTTCATTTACATTCACATTTTTAGCTCTCTCCAGGACCAGAAGTGTTATTGGAAGCTACATTTTCCCCGTTCAGATTAATTATAGCAGTGATCTCTGAAAAAAAGGCCTTTAGCTTGTGGAAAACATCCTCCCCTGATGTAGGGCTAATGCTCGGTGGAAAAGGGATCTTTATTTTGTGTGTGGATGTCTTCAGTCTTGCTGTACACAGAAACTGATTATTCTGACTTAATGATTTAAACATGAGGATGGTTTAGATCCATTGGTTCCACTTTATTAGTAAAATATATATTTAAAACAACTTTTTGATCTGAAATTAAATAGATGCAATAATGTGATTTGACTCTGGGTTATTTGCACATTGAAATAAATTATGAATAAGTAAGTGGCTCTATTTGTTGGTTTGGAGCTGTTCTGTTTTATGCATTCAGTAAAAGACTCTATTACGCTGTAAACTTCAGCCGTAGACACACACAGCTGGCTGCAAGTGTGTGGTTTGCTTGATTAGAAACTCTTTTTTTTTTTTTTTTTTAAACCACACATGCACATTGCATATTTAGCCTAGATTGTTTAATTGGGTCATTTAGGGAAACCATAACTAGATTATTATTCTGCATTCACTGGTTCTAATTAGATGGAATACCAGAGCGAGGAAGTTGATGCCAGCCTGGTGGAGTATGAGGACAATAGGCCCATTCTGGACATGTTTCTGCAGAAGCCCATGGGTCTGCTGTCCCTGCTGGATGAAGAGAGCCGCTTCCCTCAGGCCACCGACCAGACCCTAGTGGGTAAGATTGGAACTACAGTCGCAAACATGCTGAGATGTAGCACATAAAATAACTCAGTTACATAAGAGTTCACAGATCAATGCATAAGGAGCCTTCACGTGCCGTACTTTTCTTCTACATGTCTTCTTTACAGATAAGTTTGAGGACAATTTGCGCTGCAAATATTTTTGGATACCAAAACGAGTGGAGCTTTGTTTTGGAATTCAGCACTATGCCGGACAGGTATCAGATACTTCATTGGATGTGTTTAACTAACAATCTACTGCCTTGATGATGATGGGTGTGAGCATGTAAACCAGTGTTCAGGCCTTTGAAATGCTTGGTAAAACCTTCTATTCTGATTATGCCTTTACTTTGAGTATTTCATAAACATCTGCATACTTTATGGAAGGATTTTTCTCTACATCTGTTTTGGGGTCTGATTAGGTTTGTTGTGACTTAAAAAAAATTATTACATCCCATATAGAGAAAAATAGGAAACAAAATCCTATAAGTCTGTGAAATTTTACTAAAAAGTCTATCTTGATCCTTCACATTTTCTCATAATGTTAACTTTTTTCATACTTATTTCTTATAAATATCTTATATGAAGAAAATGTGAAAAGAGACACTTTTTTGAGTGGATTATAATATGAGACATGCGAACATATGAAGAGTGGCACAGTGCAGCAGTGGTTAGGACTGGAGCCCTCATAGCAACAAGGTCCTGGGTTCAAATCTACCACCCAGCTGGGGCTCCCTACAATGAGTCTACCCTCTTTCCCTGCACCTGCATAGATTCTCTCTGGGTACCCGAGCTCCCATACTACAAAGATCTGCCTGTGTAGGTAACTGGTGATTCTAATTTGGCCAAAGGGGTGAATGTGAATGGTTGTCTGTTTCTCTGTGTTATCCCTGTGACGGATTAGAAACCCTGCCTGTCAACTCATGACAGCTAGGATAGGCCTCAGCCCTTTTTTCCTGTTTCCCTTCTTTAAGAATGGCTTCTTGACAGCCATCCTTTGCTAGGAAACCATTTTTGACGAGGGTTCAGCAAACAGTAGATTTCTTCCTATTTCTTAAGGCCATGACTTTCAGATACTGTTCATCTGCTAGACATTTTTTAGTGCTGCTACTTCTTCCTTTGTCCTTTAGTTGTTCAGTTTCCTCAGATTTTTTAATGACATATTGCACACCATGCCGAGATATGCCAAGCTTTCAGCTAATAGCTCTTTGGGAATCACCAAGTTGTGTTAACTGTGTTATTGGAATTTTTCATAAATCCAGGACTGGATAGCGGCACAGCAAACCTATTGCATGTCACTGAGGAAAAACGCAGATGTTTCTAAAAACATCTGTATTCCAGTAAGCTTTGACAGTTTGGCAGAAGCAGCATGCACAACACCGGCAACTGAACCTCAAATGGATTTCAGCCATCAGTATTTTTATTGCTCACACCTGGGGTTTTTCTGTGGTTAAAAGGAACATCAGTTTTCTCTGGGATCTTTTTTACCATCACATAATAAGATGTGTGTGTGTGTATATATATATATATATTAAACTATACCCCAGCATTAATTTCAGCCTTATCATAGAGTGATGACAATTCAGATTCAGAAAATGTGAATTGACTGTTACACATACGTGTATTTCTCATGTCCTACTCAACAGGTAATGTACAATGTGAATGGCTTCTTGGAGAAAAACAGAGACACTCTCCCTGCAGACATTGTTGTGGTGTTGAGGACGTCAGAGAACAAACTTTTGCAGCAGCTGTTTTCCAGCCCCTTAACTAAAACAGGTATGATATAATGCTATTTAGAAAATCTCAGCAACTAACCACTAGCCACAGAGGAAATGGAAACTTTCCTTTTGTTAACAATTGCGGGACTATATGAATAGTGCTGCTGTGTACTCTTCCCATAAATGTTCAGGTAAGTGGGTTTCTTTAAGACGCGACTCCCAGGCATCTGCCCCCCCCCAGCCCCCCTTCATTTCAAGCCTCTGCGTGCCGTGCTCGGATAAATCTGCAGTCTCCATTATCTCTTGAGAGGCTCAGCTCTCCGCATGGCGCTCTGTTTTTATTTTCACTAAGCTGTCCCTCTTGGTTTCCCTCTGCTGAATGCTATCTACAGATTGTGGGTGCAGTGGGATATTTTTATGATAAGGTTTCTAAATACCCAGGGGATGAAAAAAAGAGTATTTAGAGAACACAAAAGCAACTCTTCCCACCTCTTTTCTGTTGGTTAAATGAAGGTAGAGTAGTGTGCTTGTCATTAGCTGGGGCTGGGGCCCTCCTGGTCACTTGATTTAGCTGAAATGCTAATAGATGTTTTATATTATCAGATTCCCACTTCCTACTTTTATTTCAGCTAAGCCACTTTATGTGATTCACTTCCTTTTTTAGGCACCTGTAAATTCCTGCTTTCTCTCCCAGTGGCATTAGAAGGAGATTCGATTCACAAAAGGCACCTAAGCTGAGACTCCTGTAGAAATCTGTGCAGCGTGTCTGCAAACTTCAATTGCTGGCTGTGCACGAGGGAGCCTTCAGCCACTTCCTTTCTGCAATTACGAGCTTCAGAAAAGTACACTCTATAAAACCCAATTCAGTGAACACTTAATTTCAGTGCACAAAGGCACTGAATAGAAACTAAGATGTGCTGCAGTGTTTACTGCTGCACTCCTGAAAGCTTCTTTATTTCCCTTTTTCTTTTCAACTGTGTTTGTGTCTGTCCTGACTATCCTGAAATGTTTAAGATTCTTTTAGAAACACCGTGCTTACACAGATCTTTTTTAATTTTAGAGTCAGAGGTCCGATTTTCATATTGCAGCTTGTGGACCCGCAGATCATCTCGTTAGATAAAGAGCTATGAAACACTGCTCGGGCTTATCGTGCCGGAAAAGATGGAGCACTGTTTAAGTGAGATACAGTAACGCATGAGAAAATTATAAATCTATTCTTCGGGGTAAAATTTGTGGGGAGATTTAATTTGCATTTTATTCCACATTATGGATTCTCTGTTATCTGTGAAATTACCATTATCTGGGGCGATCTGATGGAAATCTGTTTTACACCAGGGTGGTTTCACTGTCTGGGCCGCCCCCTCAGTGTGTCACCACTAGGGGACACCATCGTAGACCTGCAGCAGCCTGGATGCAGAGATGAAAGCGAAATGCTGGATCTGGGGTTTTGGACTACACATATTGTGCATGAATGCACTGGAGGTTAATGTTTGTGGTGATGCACATGTCACACTACAGTGAGGACACAATATCTATAAATCAGACAATTTAGCTTTTTGGTTTCTGTCGACTGTAAAACAAGCGACCGCAATTTGAGAATGTGATATCCCGACCGTCGACGCAGTTCACGATTGAAGGGTAGCAGGGAAGTGTGAAGGCCTCAGAAAGTAAAAAGTTCCCAGGCGGTGAATAGCGAGGGCACTTGAGCCTTGCAGAATGTGGGTCCTTGAGGCTTGGACATGTGGTGGTGTTTTGTCAGAGGAAATGGGATGTATTTGCATGGACAAATTCCTCAGAGCCAGGGCCTTTCCCAGATCAGGGGGATCACAGTGTTTGAATTGGCAGAGCTCACTTGGGTCTACCAGGGCTTGGGCAACCCACGGTCACAGTACAGTGAACGTGTGTGTGTGCGCGTGTGTGTGTGGCCTCAGGGCTGCCTGGCCCTGCTGATTGTAGCATAGCACATCTGCACATGCACACTGCTCATCGAGACTGCCAGTTCTTTGTCAGAGGATGGAGTTCACAGATAGTGGGCCGCGCAGGCACACACATGCTATATTCTCATTCAACCGATAAGGTTTTAACATCTTATACTGTACGCTGAAAAATAACAGGTATGAACGGGACCTGCACTGATGTAATTTGGTGTCATTTGAATTATTCGTTAGCAAGCCACCATTTAAAAAAATTAATCACGGGATAATTTCTGTATATAAAGATTTACTATTACATGCCGTCTTTGAAAGGGACGCTATTAGCACCTAATACATAGCATTCGTGACTTCTTATTACCAGCTTCTAAACAAATAAACCCTCCCTGAGTTTGTATGCATCTTTGTATTTTCCTCTTTGTATTTGCAGAATAAATAATTAGATATATCATAGATCCTGCACTATCCTTCAGAACAAATGTGAAATATTTATCCTCTGAGTTTTTCCCATTTATTTTCAAGTTTATACTATAATTTAATGTCCCTTTGATTACATTTATCTCATACCTAACTCCCCTAGTTATTTTGCAGATTTAAAAGCAAAAAGCTGTTTTTAATGGTCAGTTTTACCACGTCACATCACAATCTGAAGTCTAATATTTGTCAGCTGGAGCATTTATGCCATTTGCCAATTGCTGCAGTTGCTAAAGAAGCTCATGCCGTTAATATGCGCTGCAAGATCTTTAGGGCTGTGGAGTTCATATTGAGCAATTTACATATTGGTTTTACATCTTCACACAAAGCCACAGTTGCAGCTCTCCCATCCTCTGCCATGTCCCTCCGTCTCCCTTCATGTAAGAAGATCCTCCTGTGTGGAAGTGACAGGCTTCTCCCAGCGATATGACATATTTGGCTCTTTGTTCTCTGCCTTTTTTCATCCCAGTCGGCAGACACTGCAGTCTTTCACTGCACTTCCACATATTCTCTCTAGCAGGAGAGACACTCACCAAGTAATACTTTTGTTTGAATTCTCTCCTAATCGCAGTATTGGGGAATGTTTTGAGTCAGCAGAGGGATTTTTTTTTTTTGACGGGCCTTGCACATCAATAGCAAGAAGCCGGCTCTCCTAAGTCACATGGTACAACATCCTTTGATAAATGCAACACTGTGTTGTGTCACTAAAAGCCAATTACACCATGCTTTTTTATGATTGATCTGCTTTGACAGTAGTGGATGGCATTTAAATCAACAGCCCCCGAAGCCATCTCTAGGCATAAACGGTGGTGGTTATAGAGGGTGGGTAGGGTGGCGGGGGGTTACGGGTGCTTTAATCTAATTTGCTTGGTTGCTGAGTTGAGTTTCTAGATCACATGTTTTCAAAAAGAGAGCGGGCAGAAATATCCAGCAAGGCTCTGCTCACTCAGCTCAGGAAGGCTGCTCTCTCTTACAACTTTGATTGTCCCCCGTGTCGACAGCTCGATCCACAGCTTCTGAAGTACAAGGCGCACACTGGCACTCATAAAAGCATGTAGGGAGGTGTCATATTGAACGCGGGATTGCTTTTTAATCCCGAGCACATTGACTATTCTTGTCAATAGAACCCCAATACAACTGCCAGCTTGAGCTTTTTTTTTTCCTACAGGATTCTTGCTGGGCTTAATTTTCAAAGTGAACGCACAGATGCCAAGGAAGGGTTTTTTTCTTCTCTTTCTACCCCCCACTCCCCACACACCGCTCTGCCTCTCTCTGTTTGCGTCTTGGTAGTCCATGCCAAGAGCAACATGCGTGAAGCAGAAACGATCAGTGGGACGCTCCTCCACCTGTTTCTCAAGTCTGAATGACCTGGGAAATATTCCCCTCACCTGCTCGCCCTCCTTTTCAAATATTAACCTCTTATATTTCCACTCCTTTTCTCTTTTCGTTTTATTTTTATCATGAGAACTCTGAGAATAAGGGCTGTCTCCATCTGTAACTTAAAACACATGTAGCCTATTCTTCAGCTGAATCCGCTTTCAAAGAACAAATCTTCCTTTTCTAGCTCGTCTCTGTGTTTGAATAATTATTATCCACATCATTAGACAAGCTCCTTACTGGATCTAAATTAGAAGGTCTTCTTTTCAGGCCGGACATCACAGGTGTTCCCTTGGCTTCGTGTCTCAGGAGGCAGAAATCTTTGAGGATACTGACTATTAACCAATGCTCTAATCATCTAGTCAGGAGGGGATATGAAACCCGCCGGAAGAATGAATTAATACGACCCGCCAAGGAATACATGAAGAAAGCAGCGAATGTCCATTTGCAAGGCTTAGGTACAACTGTCATAGTTTCTCTCATCACAGCGCAGCCCCTTCATCTCCTCTTGATGGTGTCATGGAAGTGAGAGGCGTAAAAGCACAGTGACACTCCACGAGCCCGTTCCACTCGCAGCCGCTAATTCATCATGACAAATGTGCTCAGATGATCTGGCCCAGCAGCACTAATGGGGAGAAGAGAGAGCGCACTTCATTTGCACAAGACCCACTCCAATTAATCCATCCAGCTTTACTCTGGGCTAATTGGAGCAGGGCCCTCCCTGCCTGTGTGCTGGTAATATACCCGACACAGTTTAACAGCCCCTGTTCTCAAAGATCATACTTTTTGTGCGTGCGTGCGTGCATGTGTGTAGGTTTTGCCGAAGGGGCCTTTGAGGTTGTAAAATCTGTTCCCGGTATCCTAAACACAAGACCTTCTCACAAACATGTGTTCATAATGAGCAATTAACTGCTCACATTTCCATCATATCGGGCTTTACTCTGTCCTTTCTTCTATTTTTGGGTTCCAGTTTTGATCCGTTGGTTATTTTTCCAAACGTATTTACAACAAATATAAAAAGCATATTTTAATATGGCAGAATGTCTTGCATTTAGTTTGTTGCCTGATACAAAAAACCTGATTTATTAGCAGAATAAACAAGCAGATGCATAAATAGAAATCGGGAGATAACTGTCAAAAGCTAAAAGCAACATCAGTACTAGCTTAAAAGACTCTTTTGAAGAGTGCTCACATCATATGTTTTTGGTTGTTTTGACTACAGCAGTGTGTGTGTGCACATATTTGTGTGTGTGTATCTATGTGTGCTATGAACGGCACATTGCTTTGGCTCAGTGCAAAACCCTTTGGCACCAGTAGGACACCCTTTGTCTAAAGTTAGAAGTGCACTGCCTGTTAATTAATCCATCCTAAATTGATTTTGATCAGTCCGGCTTTTGATTGAAGCTTCTAATACACGTTTGATAGTGCAGCGTCCTCTGGGAAAAGGCAGGCGCTGATCCGGTGTTTAAGTTTCTGGCTCGCTGTCAGACGATGTCCTCACCAACCGATGCGAGTCTTGAAATGATATCGCGGAAGACGAGAGCATATTTGCATTTTCGAAGTTTGTCTGTGTGCGGTAGAAAATCTAGAACAATTGTTGGGCTGTCACTTTGGCTTTATCTTTAAAAAAAAACTTAAAAAGGTTTTCCTTCTTGCCATACACGGCTGCTCGGGTAATGCTGCCTCCTGTGTCTGCAGACGTATTTTTCTAAAGGTGTGTGTGGCACATCTGTGCAGCTATTGTTTATTCATGGAGTAAACCCTTTGAAATGTGTTAAGATACTTCCCACTCATTATAAAAATCCTGCCACCCATGGATTAGGACTTTGATGTCACCAATCCTGCTTCAAAGGCTTCTTTCACTGCTATTAATCACAGTTTAGCCTCTGAAGATATAGCCAGAGAAAACATTTGGACATCTTGTGCAGAAACTTTGAAATGTTCAGACTGTCTTGCATATGCTATGTTCACATCCTTTCCACTGTGTGTGGGGCTGTTGGACTGCTGTGCACACAGATGCACTCCTGAGCCCATGGATTCAGCTTAGTTTTTTTTTCTTTATACTCTCCTGCTCTATGAACACCAACATAGTGGTGCACGCTTTATACACCTTTTTCTTGTATGTTGAATAAAAAAGAAAAGAAAATCAATCCCGGAGTGTTTACTGAAACGCCGCTGGCTCATTCCCAAATATTATTTGCTTTCTCATATTACTGCATGAAAGTCCACTGGCTTCATTCTTGTGTTCAACAGGAAATCTGGCGACGTCCAAAGCGAGAGTCACCGCCGCCTCCAGATCTCTCCCGCCGCAGCTCGGTTCAGGACGCACCAAGGTGAGCATTCAGCCGTAGCCCGAATCATCACGTGCAAAAAAAGCCCCATAATGCTTTTTTTTACATTTTTTTTTATTTGTTGCTCACAGGCATTGCACCATAAGAAACCCAGTAAAAACCTGTGCTGTGAAGCATAGCCACATTAATTGACTGCCCTGTTATGTTTGCTGTCTTGCTTGTGGTGATACAGCATCGCCATCTGGCACTCAGTGTCTACATCATAAAAGTAGTTTCTGAGACTTAGTGAATATTGTTGTTTTTGTCGCTGGCAGGCAGCGTTTTAAATTTTAAGGATGACTTTTGCAGATTCTCCTAAATCAGCTTAAATCACTGCATTGGCTTGACGGTTTTCTTTCCATGATATTTCATGTAGAATCTCTTGTTGCATCCAGCAATGCTGATTGTTCATGTTCACTCTAAGTTTGTTTGAGCTGAGTCTTGGCAGCATCAGTGGCTGGAAATTTTCTTAAAAGAAAAAGCTCTTACTGCCTCTCCCTCTGAACTTTAACACTTTCATTTCTGGACCTTCTTTGTTTAAGGGGCAGAATTTCACAAGCTAATAATATCTCTAAGATCGCGTTTCTTAAATGACTGAAAATATTCAGCCTATGTTGACTAACTTTAATCTGATCTTTGTGTAGGAAATACGAAGTCACATGATGCTTTAACACTCGAACCTCTCTTAAAACTGATTTTCAGATTCCTCTTGTCTTTCCATTTCTCTCTTCCTTTCCTTCCATGTTATTCGACAACATGTGCTGTACTCAAAGTCTCCCAAATACCTGTTGAAGGTAAGACCTCTGTTTGATAATAGTAAAACTTTCTGAATCCAAATGCACCACCTCTGAAGCACAGGACAGATCTGAAAAAAAAAACCCCAACATAGTTCACTGAAGTTATCATCGCATTATTGTAATCCAAAAACTAAAACTTCAAACTGCGCTTCACAGACTGACTGTGCAGCTCCAGTCATAAAACATCAATCACAAGCTGCTTTTGGAAAATGTAAATCATCCCTTTTGAACCATTTTTTCTCCACACAGCCACATTTCTGAGTTATTAATGTAAACAAATGCACTGCGATGTGTCTTTTAGATTATAAAAATGCTTCATGTGAGACGGAAACAAAGGCCAGAATAACAGTGGGAATAATAACAGTCCTACTTTGTTGAGCTTCCACTAAGCACCTACTCAGTTATTCTTGAAGAAGAGAGGACTTCTTAGTAATAACTCTGTGAAACTGATGTAATATGTATGCGTCTCGTTCTCAATCAGAGTTGGAGAAAAGTTGACAGAAACTGACGCTTACGAGAAGCTACCCGTGCGCTCAGATTAAAGTGACAGTTGTTAGAACAGTGGAAGTGAGTCTCCGATAGCCGTTTGCTATTCTGAAAGCAGATCATACAGAAGTACAAAGTGTCGGAGCGTCTCGTTCCTATGCAGCTCGCACAGCCTTTCACGTACCTTCCTTTCTCCGTGCAAGGATGAAATAAAGTATTAAGATATTCACTTACTATAAAATATCTATTGCATCATTAATTTTGATGAAGCCATGAACTGCGAAGGCCATTAGAAAGCTTATATTGTGTCCTCGTTAATCCGCCGTCATCAGGATGACTGTCTGCTCGGTGACGGCTAGTCTCATTACTCAGAATGCTCTGCAATTTTCCCATGCCCCACAGCAGTGCCGAATTATTCTCTAGATTGTTAGCTTTAAGTGTTTATGAGGCTGTGTTATACAGACGGCACAGTTAGTACAGCTGTGTTTTCCCAACTGGCCCATTTAGAGGAAGGGGACCTGCTGTAATAATACCTTTATTTCTGCAGAGCCCGCTGAAGACGTCATGTCGCAAATGAACAGCATCTCATTTGAATCTGCTGCATTTTATGTTGCAGTAGCCTAAGTCTGGCCTGATCATCAGTGCAGCGTGCTTATCGCAACTGTTTGTGTTCAGGTGGACACCATGGAGATGATTCGCCACCCAGAAGAAACCACCAAGATGAGGAGACAGACGGTGGCCTCCTATTTCCGTGTAGGTGTTTGCATTTCTCACTAAAAATGACTGCCCTGATGACACGTACTCCACCATACATCAGCAGGAAAATGAGACTGAAGTCTGCGTGCTGGTCTCATTTTGCCGTTGAGCATTTTTAAACTGTGTACTTTGTTTGTAAGAGTAACAAAGAAAAGCTTCAAATGTGAAAATAAAATGATAGCTGCTTTTCAGGTTCAGCTGAGCAGCTAATGATCTTCATAACATATGAAGCTGCAGACTAATTTGAAGCTCATACAAATATGATTAATTTATGCTGTATCAATAACTCCAAACAGCAAGATTCAATGACGTAAAGCAGGAGCACTGATTGTCTGAAAACAACTAAAAGCCTTCCACTGATGAGTGGATTAACTTGTTATTAATATGATGTCGTAACTGATCAAACCAGCAAAGTCTGTGATATCAATGGATCCTTCAGTTATTACTGATATAATATTTACATTAAATGAATTATGGGTATTCATGTGTTCTTTGTCAATTTACCTCTGATGAAAAGCATTAAAAGATGTCCTCAGCTTGCTCTGGGGACTAGCTGGGGAATGTTTGCTGAAGATGGCTGGTGGACAGCAAAATTGAATTTAATGAATTTGTTCTGTGTAAATCAGTAACAGTCTGCCAACAAGTCCACTGCAGCTTTATAAAGTAGGGGTTGTTCTCACTTGTGGACACAAATAGTTGCAGACACCATGGATGAGTAGTCATTTCTGTTATATTGCCTTGTAGGACGAGTGTGAAGTTGAACGAGTTAACACAGAATTGGCAGGTACATGAACGTCTGCAGGGATGTCATGCTCATGGCCTGATGATGAAATGTGCTCTGCTTTGGTCAATTGGATCCAAGTGAGAGGACCTTAGCATACTCATAGACTACGAACCTGTAACACACCTTTCATTTCATAAAATGTAAATACATCTCAGTAAATACATCTTTAATTAGTGCTTAAAAAGAAAGCAAGTGGACTTTTTTGGTTTTTGAAGACGTCACTTCTAAAACAACTGATGGACAAAACCCTATATTTAATCCCAAAGCAGGTCACATACCTTGTTTTTAAGTGCTGAAGACTGCCAGGACCTGGATGAATGAGAATCTACTTGCACACTTTAATTCGTTTTGTTATTACATTGCTTTTTTTTTTAACATTACCATAACTGATACCAACAATTCTGCAAATAGAATTACACAGTGTTGCTTTTTTTTTTCAAATCCCTAAATAATTCATGATGTCTTTTACTTTAGAATTGAAAACACTGTTGTGTCCTGTTGGGATAGATTTGTTTATTGATTCATACTGATTCATTCTCGTGGGTACCATCGAGCTTGTTATGAGAATGTCTGGAAAAAGTTTGAATGCTTCTTCCAGTGCAGATCTGATCTGACCTTTGAACCCTGATAATATGAAACGATATAACTGCTCTCTCGTGTCTTCTCTTGCTTCTGCCCTCATTGTTGTGTTTGTGCAGTACTCCCTGATGGACCTGCTGTCTAAGATGGTCGTGGGCCAGCCACACTTTGTGCGCTGCATCAAACCTAATGACGACAGGCAGGCACTGTGCTTCTGCAAGGAGCGGGTGATGGTGCAGCTGCGTTACACTGGGATCCTGGAGACGGTGAACATCCGCCGCCAAGGCTACTCCCACCGCATCCTGTTTGAAGACTTTGTCAACAGGTAAGAGTGGCGTCGAGACAGGCGGCGCCTCCACTCTGCAGCACGCACGCACGCTGACACAGCCCCAGAGATGGCATAGAACAAGTGAGCCATGCTCTACATCACACAAAAACACGGGTTCTTTAATTAGATAGGGGTACATGTTGAGCAGAGCAAGAGGCTGACTAATTGGCAGTCATTAGTGATAGTGCAAGACTAAATCCTGCAGCTCTTTTAACTGGGTGGATACTCCAGTCTGGAAGATATGGATTAAATTCAAACAAGGAGGAACTGTGATTATAAGGGGTGATGCATTTTAATAGATTTCCTTTTACTATTCATAAAGAGTTTGTTCTTATACTCGGTGACCTGAAAAAGCTCAAACATGGTCTCCTTGTCCCATCGGTATTACATTAGAGCACAATTAAAACAAGTCTCATCATTAACGGGGGGCTTTACGTAAGGGTGTTGTTTTGGGTTTTTAAAAATATGGGACAGGATCCGTTTAACTGTTACTAAGCACTACACGCTTCCTCCAATTTAAAAGCGTACACCTAAATTTTAAGGGGAAAAAAATCCACACATTTAGATGAGGCTGTGCGAAAATGCCAGAAAGCTTATGTTTGATCAGTGTTCCTTTGAAAAGTATTCCAGCCACCTCTAATGTGGAGACTTTAAGATTATATAAAATTTAATTAACTTAGACTTGTGGAAAGAAGAACTTTGAGATGACTGGTTAGTGTCGTTGCTTCGGGGGAAGCTTTAAAAATGTGGGCCTAATTTTGGCGAGCTGAAACTTTGAATGACCACATGGTGTTTCCCTGCATGTCCTACTTTTGCTCCCAGTATCGAAGGCCGATTACTGGAAGATCGCACACAACCCCCGGCACGATGACGTCCCTGTTGTCTCCTGTGCCTGAAGTGTGCCTGTGTGAGAAGGAGAGTGTGTAAATATATTTTAACCTTGCTATTGAATCCATATCATCCTACCTGAGCCAGGCAGAAGTCATACAGACAGACCTGAATGGCTAAACTGCACCTTTAGTGAAAACTGATTTAAATTTGTGCTCCCATATCAAAGGCTCGTCTGATGTTGCAGTGCTTTGTATTTACCATCAAAGAAATAACAGGTATCAACAGGAATTAGAATGAAAGGCTGTAGACTGAGGCGGGGAGGGGAGTTCAAAGAAGTTTTTCTTCTTGTTGTTGTTCTTCTTTTTGACCACTGCCAGAACACGAAAGATGAACGAGTATTTCTGGAGCCTTGATGTCCCTGAGCAAACAGTTAGAACCACTCTGTCCTATGCTGGTATTTTATAAACAGCAGGATCAGTGGATGGATCCAGACAATGTGAGCAATAAACAGCGGCGTGGGTGATGCACACTGATAGGCCTGCGCTAATGAGGATCTTCTGTGGCCACTGAAATAGGAGACGATGATGCATTGAAAAGAGATCCAGCGCTGGTCTCTGTTAAAGAGTCATGTTTGACTCAGATTTCTGAGCAGCAGGAAGTTTTTAACTGTGGTTCTCTTAACAGTACTTCTAGTAGCAATGTGCAACAAGATGTTGATATTGATAATGTCATTTCTTGAAGGCAGTTAAGTAAGTAGGCACTACGTCATCCCCTAATCTACCAAAACTAAGTTAGCTAATTTATCAATATCTTGTCAAATATTCAACATTTCAAGATTTGTATATCAGATGGCTCCAGTTTCAGACACATGCTTGATTTATTCTCTATAATTTAGTGGTTTATATATTTTCCTAATAAGTGAAAGATTCCTGGTTCAATCCCAGGAGAACACAAAGATCCCTTCGAGCTTGCATTGGGAGGGTATGGAGGCTTATTTCACTTAAAAAATCAGAAGTTTGAAGTTTGAAGCTGTAAGTCAACATTTTTAGATACCTAACTTGAAACTTTTAGACTGCCTAACCAAAAAATAAATAAATAAGTGGCAGAACAATCTTTTATAGGAATGACATACGTTAAAAATGTGTTAAAAAAGTTGCCAAATCAAATATGTGATCCCTTGTCACTAAGAAAGCAGTTGAAAGTAGCTTTTTAAAATTCTTTAAATCTGTTTATATTGTTCTATTATTGGCATGTCAGTGTCTCAGGAGGTAAAGCAGGTTGTCCACAAGTTCATAGTTTGATTCCGGGTCTTCTAGTTTGCACATAGTCTTCTCTGCATCCATCTGACTGCCTGCTACATGCATTTGTGTGCATGCATTTGTACTGCTTAAAGACGTCGAATAAAGCTCTGTCAGTTGTGTGTCAGTGAATCTGTGAATGCAGCTTGTAATAAAAACACCTTCAGCAATTCGTTAGCCTCTTGACACCCTGTGTTCTCATATCGGGACACTGTATTTTGGGTTTTCTGCACAGTTTTTCACTTAACTTAGTGTTTTATCCAACCTTGATTTTATTGTGTTATGCTTTTTGAGGACGTAAAAACTGTAACAAAGTAACGACTTCCTGTGCAAAGATAATGCTTAGTTTTTATATTTATCAGCTCCAAATACTCCCAGATTTGTTTTTAAATAATAGCAAAACACAATATCACTGCTTGAGTAAATAGATTTGTTCAAAGGTGTCCTTTTTCTCTTCATTGTCTCCTCTTCCAGATATTACTATCTTGCATTTCGGGCTCACGAGATGCCTGAAACTAGCAAAGAAAACGCTGTTGCCATACTGGAGAGGGCCAAATTAAAAGACTGGGTGCTGGGAAAGACAAAGGTGGGGCTATTTTTAAAACAAAAAGTTTAATATTGAAGTTATTTTTATTTGTAAAAGACATTAAAGTTTGTAAAGACATAAAAGAAATAGACATAATCAAGCTTTGGATGTCCTAACCAGAGCAAAATGTCCTGTCAGGTTTTTCTGAAATACTACCATGTGGAACAACTGAACCTGCTGCTGCGGGAAGTAATAGCTCGGGTGGTGGTGATGCAAGCTTACACTAAAGGCTGGCTCGGGGCCCGGCGTTATCGAAAAGAGAAGGAGAAGAGAAGCCGTGGGGCCACAATCATCCAGTCAGGTACGCTGGTTTTGATTAAACAGTAAACCGGAAGAGCGATTATTCAAACTTAAGTCAAAAATATGAAAAGAAAGATGAGTTGTGATATATTCTTTTATCGCTCGTGATGAAACAGGTGCAAATTTGATGTGAGGTGGTTTCTTAATGACATCTAGCCTATTATGTGCCTGTGAGTCTTCATAAAAGAGATAGTTTGATAACCACAGCTTGACCTATGAGGGTTAAGAGCAATGCTTCAGAGCAGACAATAAGACCTCAGAGAGTTCAAAGGGATCCATCCCTCTGCCACCTGGTTTAGCAGTGTTTTGAAGTGGGATCTTGTGTAGTATGCGCAGTCTATTTTGTTTCACAGAGGTAGGTCAGCAATCTCTCGCACACACACACACACACACATACACACACTGTTTCTTTCTTTTCCCCTTAGCCTGGAGGGGCTATGTTGCTCGGCAGAACCTCAAGCAAATCAAAAAAGAGCGGGAAGAGGCAGCTGTCCGCATACAATCAGGTAAAGAAATGTTTAAATTTTCAAGTTCAAATATTCAAGTGGAGACATCTGGAATTTCTCACGCGGCCCCATGTCCGGTGGAAATTCGCGCCACTGTTTTCATACATTTTCAAAAGGAAACAGGATAAAGGCCTGGAAACCTTACATCTTTGTGAAACACCTTTTTGATCTCCATGAGTGGCCTACGAAATAGTAATAATTAATTAATAATGCATACAGAAAAGCTTTTGAAAGTTTGGGCAGCATTTGGTCCCCATGTTTCAGAAGAACAGTGCATACTGAGATCCTTTTTTTCCTTTCATCTCTTTCCCAGTAAAGGCAAGAGAGGGGCTTATCCCTTCTGTTTCCTCACGACTTCCTCTCTCAAATTCCTGGCCTATTACACAGCTCTCACATACCAGAAACAAGATGCCTTTTTATACTGTCAACCTTTTCATCTGAAATGTAAATTAATTCTTACTCAGTGTGCCTTGACGAAGATCAAAGTGGGCACATTAACCTTCCCAGCCCCCCTCCCCCTCCTCGGAGGCTCTCACTGGAGGACAAGGGAGGGTGCCAAAAGGGGCAGGAGAGAGGAGGGCAGGAGGGAGGAGATCTGGCATTGTTTCCTCTGGCTCTCCTAAGGGCTGCCCTCATCTGGCACATGGAGCATCTCAGTCGCCTGCACACCTTGTGTAAATGTCCTCCATTAAACCCTTGTAAATAAAGCTGCAGAATGGGTAAACATGGTTTTGGTGTTGGGAAAGCCTCTCTGTCGCCGCTGTCTTTCTTTTTAGAGAAGCGTGTTTGTGTGTGGCCGCCGGGGTTCGGGAAGGGGATGGAAGGCGGGGTGGGGGGAGAACCTGAACCTGACATAAGTGGGGCCTCAGCCCCCCGGCGGAGCACTCCAGCACATTCACTTTGTGTGTTCTCTGCAGCTTATAGCCTTTGAGGTGGGCTGCATTTGCATTCTGAAAATAAACAGATGCCTTTCAAATGTATGAGCCTGGTGGCTTCTCAGATCTCAGCGGGGCCTGGGGGACATGCTCACCATCGATCAGATTAGACCATGCAAAATAGAACCATTGCTCAACAATGTACTTGAGCCTTCTTTTCCTGTGCATATAATTTTACCAGAAAAACACAAAGCCCGTCGACGGAGTAAGTCAGCAGGCTCCGTTTACCATCCGTCTGAGCTCAGTGTGTCTCAATAATCACACAAAGTTTCCTCACTGCAGCGCCACAGACCATATATGCATGCTAAACACATCTCACTTCCTCGCGGGCGAATCCAGAGTTTCTTAATACAAAACGGTTTGGTGCTCCTGATTAATATATAATAAATACACTTTGTGTGTAATTGTGTGAGCATGCAACATGTATATGAGGACAGGGGTGAGGCATTTGACCATTTGACAGCGTGTCTGGCATTCATATCCTGTGCAGCTTACAGGGGCCATCGGGTGCGTCGGGACTGTGGACCCCAGGAGCACAGATGTCACCCTGAGGCTGGAGAAAAGACCACCAAAGAGGAGCATTTAGGGTGAGCTTTGACATTTGTTGTCCTTCAGCATCTGTTCTCATTGGTCTCATTTTTCCTGTACTTTGATTTCTTTTGTAATTTCATTTGCTCCTCATTGCACAGACAATAGTCCACCAGTAGCCATGGCTGACTGAGCAAGAGGCCTCCCATGCTTGCCATTCATCTTCAGCCTTTGCTGGATGAGCTGCTTTTGCCTCATAATGAACTGCTGTTTCACCCAAAGGAGAAAGCTCCTCCCTGTGCACCACCTCTTTCAGTTTTATAAACGTAATAAATAACTTTCCACCAAGATAGCACACTTGTCTGACCACAAGCGGGGCTGGGTGCTGCACTGGTGTCCAGATGTACGAGCTTGTGTTTATTCAGCATATGGGCAGGCCAGACATTAAGAAAGTATTTGCTAAGCGGGGGAGCAGCCACTGAATGAATAGCGGCACACGAGGTGTTGATGGCAGCTTTTACCTTTTTTTTGTCATTAAAAAAGTCTCTAAGCATCCTAAAAATCGTTTTAAGTATCCCCGAATGATTTCAGACCTTTGACATTAGCTCTTAGAAAGAAAGATGTAAAATTAGAGATCCATTGCACATCTTGTTTAAATCTTCTGCGACATTTTGGTCAAGGTTGCGCATTTCTCTCCCGACTCCAAAACTCCAAAATACTAGATTTACACATCTGAAAATGTTATGCTCGTTGTATACTCAAACCGAGCAGAGCCTCATCTGGGGATTTTTCTCTCCATGTTTACAATCATATTCCTTGGTGGGAAAAAACTTCAAACCTCCACTTAACAATTCTGTTTAATCAGTGTTGGAATCTCTCCATATATATTTATTTTGACATGATCTGGCCCATTTTCCTGCGGTAAGATTTGTGTTCTCACCTACATGCTGTTCTTTTCCCTTTTGATACCCCTCCTGTCTGCCATGCATGAATTCTGTGTTTGCATCCAAACAGCAGAGCCTCCGGTTGCATTGCCAGTTCCAAACTGGATGAGATTTTGTTTTTCTAGACCCGAAGCATGACTGCCACTGGCTCGCGGCATTGTGCGTGCAGACGTTGTCTCGTTGGTGTTTGCTTTTTAAATAATGCAACATGAGCGAACGGGCGCAGAAACACATCGGCGCTTTTTTGCTCCGCAAATTACATAATCATAAAGTGGAGATGTTTTAGGAGCAAAAAAGACAAATAAAAATCATCCCCAGCTCTGGATTTCTTTGTAATAAGCTGATGCAATATGCTTTATTTTGCAGTGATCATTTTCGTTCATTTTAGTTAAAAGTGCGTCTTAATTTCACAGGTACAGCCCGGACAACAAAGAGGCAGACGGAGATTACACCCATAAAAAAGATGTAAGTAGCAGAATATCAATGAGCATTTTCCTTATGCCTTACTAGCTGTGTATGTAAAAAAAATAAAATAAAATAAAACAATGCTGCTCCTCTACAAAGCAGCTTTAACCCAGATTATTCTTTGGGAATTTTTTGAGTCCTTGAGACAAAAGAGTTCTCTTGCTCCAACCTCCATCTCAGCGGAGAAGAAGACAGGGTGGTACAGGAACGAGAGAATCAAAAGGCTGGAAATTCACGGCTGAGAATAAATGCTCGCTCTTCCCTGAGGTGATTTGTCTTTGCGCTCTTCTTTCTACAGATGTTAGACCCCTTTTTTAGTAAAGACCTGAGGTTCTTTGGTAGCACTTTGATATCCTGCTCGGATTCAATATGTGAAATAGAAGAGCCACTCCGTGACTTGGAGCACATCACAGTCTTTGAAGTCTGATCCAATTTTTGCTGCTCACCATTTGATGTTGAAAGGATGAAATGAGGAAAATGTACAGTTTTTGCCAGTAACTCTGCTGAGCATATGTAAGATTAAAAAAGCAAAATCCTTTGGAGGATGTACTTAGAAATGTTAAGCAGATTAATACTTTCCTATAGCTCTTTTATTCAAAGATAAAATTAAATATGAGAGGAAGTCTGTATGTGCTGTTTTTCATACTCTCACAATTAAGTCAGTGTGGTGCTGTTTGCTAGGAGGTAGGGCTAGTAAAGGGGGGGATATGCAATTGCATTAGCATTTGATTAACATTGCAAAGCACATTAATGGGTTTGAGTTATATGAGTGCCAAATTGTAAATTGTAAATAAATGAATACAACATCTACATGACTAAATTGAAAAAAAAAAAAAAAAAAAACGCATTACAGGGCATGCTTTAACTTGTATATATTCATTCAGTGCTTTCATTGACATTGCTCTTCTGGGTGTGTTTACGCCTCCTCTTTCAAGGTTGGCCCTGACAGCCAAGACAGACAAGTGAAAGACATCAAGAGAGACAAAGGCAGAGCAGAAGACAGTGTAACGAAGCCGTGCAGGGAGACGGCAAGGCTGCGAGACACGCAGTGTAAACAAGGTAAGCCTGAGCACAGAGCTGGCGGGTGCAGGTAATTACACAAAGAGACAGCAGAAATCCCGCTTTAATGGATAAAGTGCCATTTTTAATACGAGACCCCTTTCAACCTTTCATCCCAGCCAATCCCCTGCTGCCATTCTTTGTTGACAGCAAAAAAGAGCAGCATTATGGGCGATCATTTCTGTGGTATTTTAATAACTCAGGTCAGCTCATCATAAACGTCTCAAGGCAAGTGGAGGTGGGGGGAGTTTCGAAGTGGCACGAGCACTTCAAAGCTTTCGTTCTCCCGCATGGCGGGCCCTTCACTAAGAATCTCATCAGTGACTCTAATAGACCTGCACAGTAACGGTGACACGAAAATACACAAACCCTGATTTGTTGAACATATGTTTGGTTTGCTTTTTGCCCCAGGCGACGAATTACATTAATTCCTGCTGCCTGGAAGGCTGAGTGGGTGGCTGTGCAGGGGGCCTCTGATTACGGCCGTCACCCAGCCCACCGCTAGGGTAGCCTTGGTAATGGGGCCCGGCCCTTCATTAATGTTATTAAAGGGGTATGAGGTAAGAGACCGAGGTGGAATAGTGTTTAGCGTTGCGGCTGAGAGATTATGGGGATTAGACATGATAATGTAACACAGACAGGGCTCTCCAGCAGGCCCGGGATTAGTGTCAGCACGCCACAGCAGGTCTGGGTTAGATAGCGGCTAATTCGGTAATGCTGCATACAGGTGACCCCCGCTCCCAGGCATCACTGCCGCTGAAGGGAGGCAGTGTTTGATGAATTTATAATGTCAAAGTGATTATTGAGAGGAAACATGGCGGTGAATGTGAGGGTATTTTGCCTAAACTGGTGCTTTGCTTTGTTTTTTTTCCTCCAGTCGGTCCACATGTAAGTTTAAAATAATAGCTGAATGATTTTCTGTTTTTTTGTTTTTCTTTACAGTTTAAAGCCCAAGAATTTGTTCAAATGTAAAACAATGAATTCATAGCATCATTGCATCAATAATAAAGCATGCCCACAGTAAGGCTTCGTGGGTATACCTGTAAAGATGGCTTGTGTCAAATTGCTTTCTTTCCTAGATTAAGTAGTTTGAAGGACATTTTTGGGTGGTGCGAGGTGAAAGGAGAATAAAGCCACTACAAGCAAATGCAGAAGAAATGCTTCTGCAATTGTTTAAGCATCCTTTGATTGCTATGCATAAAATGTCCATCCTTAAGAAATTAAAATGCAAAAGTAATGTTTCTGGAAATGTTCCTCTTTATTTGTAAATAATAAAAAAAAGCAGGTCGCTCATGTGCACTGAAGAAAAATTACATTTGATTTTGGATCACTGTGAAACATTGTACAAAAGACTTTGGTCAAAAAAGACTTTTAGGGTTCATGTTGATGGTAACAAGGGGATTTTTGCAGTGATCTTGCAACCCCTGAGATTTATCCTGGGGGTACTTAGAGGTGGGATATGCGGTCTAAATGAAGGTTAGTCTTTTAGTCTCTTTTCCTACAGCACATCAAACTCTAATGCTTTTTTTAAGTAGGTAAGTTGTAAGTTTTTTAGATCTGACAGTTCAATTATGTTGAAATTTTCAACAGAAAAAATAGCCTGGACTAATTCCTTAGATATTATATGTGGAGAGATTTTCAGGTATTCATCATTGCCTCTTTTCCTGCTTCATTTATGTTCCTGCTTGTGGCTCTGACGTCTTTCAGGAAACCCCATTTGAATATGTTGAGGGAGGCCACAGTGGCTCATGCACCCAGGGCACACTTTGATCCCTGCAGATCTGAGGGTCTTTTTTTTTTTCATCCCGAGGTTGAGCGAGTCATGGAAGCCTTGCCCTGCCAGATGTTTGGAGACCAGACTTCTTCCTGTGTCTCATCCTGCCGTCGCCTCTGGTGATCGCATTGGTTCTCTCGGGCTAGAGTTCGACCTGGAGTGTTTCAGGACACCAGTAGAGGGGGAAAAAAAAACAGAAAATTAACCGTGGTAATCGAATTACTCCACCCCTCCAGACACCCGCGCGCTCTCTACACGCTGCTCCCATTAAAGCCAAAACACCAGGGCGTGACCTGGAACCTCTCAATGTGTTTGACGGACGTTGGGTCTTTCCTGCATGATTTTAAAAAGCCTGGTGTTCAACTGAGAGATCTGTTTCACTGTGTATCCGACACCAGGCTAAGCGACTGTTCTCCCTCTTTAGGCAGATACCCACAGTGCTGTATTTTATGATGGGGAGAGAGCATTAAAACACTTTGTACTCCAGGCGCTCGCAGTTGTCTTCAACACCAACCTTTGATTTTTCTTTTTTTCTCTCTCTCGCTCTCTCAGCGGAAAAAGTTACACATACGCAGTGCTGTCTTGTAAGCTACACGTTCAAGGCGATGTCACCTTCCGTCACCTGTCTCCTGAGCACTAAATATTAATGCAACATGTTTGGAAATGAGTCACAGAGATGTGTGCAGAAAGAAAGCCTTTGCTAGCAAGCAGCAGATATGATCAGAGCGCTGCTTATGCTCCTCAGCGTGGTAAACAGGATGGTGCCGAGGATCAGTCAGAGCTGACTTTATGGTTTATGAAAGCTGAGCTACTTATGTTAACAGGCTTTTTGAAGATTATAGTTGTGGTAAACATACATGTCAAGAGAGAGACAGTGATAAAGTGGGGCTACGACACAGCCCAATTACCTCTGTGCCTCAGAAGATGGTTAACCTGCTGGCTTGAAAGGATGAAACAAGAAGAAGAAAAACAGGAAAACAGTTAAAGTACTGTCTTAATGGTTATAGTTGCATCCCCTCTGCACAGAACACGGTACAGTCAATAAGAATTGATTTGGGTTGTTGCTCTGAGCTGTTTCTGTGCTTTATAGCTGCAGCTGGGAGCGCTTGTTGGAAATGTGGGTGCAGTTTTTCCCCACACTGAGGTCATCCCACACTCACAAGAACATTTCACTTTCCTCTCCGCCTGCTCCTTCCCTCAGCTCTTAAACGTCTTCCCGCATGTCCTCCCACAAGGTTTGCAGCCACCAGGTGCTGCTCCACAACGCCCCCCCCTCATACACCAACACCATCACCACCAAAGCAGCATCACGGTATCAACATGCATCTGCCAGACAAATGATCCACCCTCTCCGTGTTCTCTAGACAAATACTCTCCCTCCCTCTCGCTGTCTCTCAGCCTTTTGATTTATCTGTCTGTCTCCACATATCGCCGCGTCTCCACCGGATGCCTTCAGTTTTAGGCAAATTACAGGCTCGACGTAGCGGCAGCAGAGATTTGGAAGGGATAGGAAAGACTCAACTTAACGGAAGGAGTTGCCTCTGTCTGACGCTACCTACGTAATCCTCTTAATGTCAGTGGGAGTAGTTAACAGGATGTACTTCCAAACTACTCATCATCACAATTCCAACAGAATAATCTCCTCAGACATTAAAATCAAGGTGGAAAACGATGCTCAGAGTTCTCTGTGATTTTTCACATGTCGATTGAGTCACTTGGTGTACTTTAGCAAACTTTTCCAAGCACAAAATGTTATTAGGTTGTTATTGTACTAATTTTATTTAGCAAAATTTGCTGGTATTCCACTGATCAAGAGAGAAAAGGCTCAGTGCCCTTCATTTCCATATTTAATCTGTTTTTGGCTTTTCTTGTCATTCATCTCTCCCTCATCGTTCTTTATTCTTTTTTACTTGTCCTTCTTGGTCAGGGTTATAGATTACATGTATTAAGCTTGTGACAAATGATCGACTCCCACAATCAGATTTCTCCTCCTAGCAAGCATTTTTGTCAGGAGTCAAAGTTCCAAAAGTTGCTGTCAGTGGAAATGATTGATTTCAGTGTGAAAAATTGCTTGTAAGTAACAACATCCTCTGCTTGCACTAGTGAAAACAGATGCAGAATCTGCCCCCTTTTTCTGCATTATCTGCGAGGCTTGATCAGTTCGGCTTCTAATTTAAAGCACATGACTGGCTATTAAAGGAATGAGAGAAAGTTCTGGAAATGCTCTTCCACTTTGCATATCTGGTTTGGGTCTTTGTTTGCAAGTTAAGAATAATATCTGTTACTGTTTGCGTGCATGTGTGTGCACGTTTGTGTGCATGCTGTCTGGGCTAATGTGTGCGTGGATGTGTGTGAAGAGGCGGTTGTGAGGTAAAGAGAGGGGTCTGGATTGCACATGCCTCATTTAGACATCAAAGGCCTCTGCTGATGATTTTTCCTTATAATCCATGCCTTTTGGTGCCTCTGCTCTCTCCATCTGAATAAACAAAACCCGAGCGGTTCTCTGTGGTCTGGGAGAAGTCAGGTGATTGCAGCACGTGACTTTGGAAGTAAATCAATACATCTCTAATTTATTCCACTAAAAATCCCTTTTAGCGGCTCTTTTATGTTGTTTCTGAAGAGCGTTCTGATTTTCAAGGGATTTCAAAGTGGTATTTAGAGATGTAATACGTCTCATCTGCTAGTCTTTGAAAATAAAAGAAGTACCTATCTCCCAAAAAAAAGAAAAGAATTCTTTTTATCTCAAGAAGCAAACATGTACAATATGTAAGTCTTTCACCAAGAAGAGCAAACACTGCTTGGCTTTCTTTTGATAGGGAGAAATCAATATTGCATGAAACTTACTGCCTCTGTATTCCCAGTTGGCTATTATTCCTCCCCACCCCATACAGCAAACGTTACCCACGATCATTTAGCAAACCCTTGGTGTGAGCCGCTGCCTGACCCCTTCCCAGCTCTGCCCGCCCGTGTCCAAGCTGTGCTCCCATGCCAGAAGCCAGTTTGGCAGGCTCCCTGCCTGTAATATATCTGCAGGAGCAGCATTCCTCTGGGGCTGGCCTGGATCAAATGACAATGATTTCCCAAATGGAGGCACAGAGATGGGAGGCCTGACCCATCCTCTGATCTGCTACACGCTCTGATCGCTGCAGGTCAGGATGGATAAATTGTGAGGCTAAACCTCCTGTGAGATCTGCAGGGTTAGATACAGCACCTGAGAGATAAGAAC